GGGGGGCACTATTGGATCAGACCGACCAAATTTTAATATGTTAAATTTAAACGTGGCTGCTGATTAGCGGTGTCATTTAAATGATAGCCGGACAGGTGATCTGACTGGGACTTGTGATAAAGACATGACATTTCACTCCTTATCTTTGGCTTCTTGTCTACATTGGTATTTGTGCAGTAATAAAGTATTTATTTTATTACTGAGAGCCACAAACCTTTTTGTTTTTATTTGTGGAGCCAGGAGCCCACCTCGACACTGTGCAGGTGTTACAGATGTTCTGTAGTCGGTCTACAGTTCAGTAAAAAAGCGCAGCAGGAATGAAAGAATTTTAGTTTTTTGTCTCACTGCAGTGCAAACTGTAGAGGAAGCTAAATGGACTTTTCTCATTTGCAATGTGTATATGAGACCAGTTTGTGCCATAACACCACAGATGCCACACTCGGTCATTTTAACAGAATAAAATGTAATGAAATCTTGTTTCTCTTGCCGTTTTTATTATTGCCTCTTTTTCTTTGTTTATTGCACTGAGTTTGACACATGCTAAGCATATATGTCATATAACAGCACAACAGGGGATTGAAACTCAGTAAGTCTGTATTCCTCCGATCAAAGGCTCAGAACAGTGGTGCAAAAATAAAACTCACAAGCAAAAATGTTTTGCTTTAAAATGCTTTTTGGCTCCACCTGCCCCCCAGAGGTGAATCATCACTGCAAATGGGTACAAATTTGTTTGGAGCCATCACTTTCATCATTTCTGTCCTGATGGGAGTGTTCTCATCCAGGATGACAATCTGTCTTCTGATGAATGGTATTCCGTCCCTCCGGTGGACTTCCACAAACTTGGAGAGTCCGTTTTCACATTGTAGCTGTTCCACTTACACGTTTTGGTGATTTAAAAAAAAAACAAAAACAAAAAACTTAATGAGAGCTTGAGGCGTTTTTTCCTTTAATTTGTCTCTTGTTCGTGTGAGTATGTCACTATATGAGGCATTTAGTATTTTGAATGAATTTTATGGGAGCTTTGGGATCGGGATTCACAAAGTAGCATTTTTATGTAAAAGAACAGAAAAAAGTACTTTGAAAAAGAAACTATCAAAATGTACAGTATATGTATACAAGCTGAACGCATACTGTGTGTACTTTACAGGCATGGCATAATTTTCAAACTGTTTTCATTTATATTCGTGTCTGAAATATTTGTCAGCACAACAGTGCATCACCTGTCTTAGTGTAAACCACGCCTGACAGAGGGAAAATGATGAGATCCAATGTTTCTGCCAGATTTGCAAATTGATTCGTTTCAAGTCACCACTAGATGGCACTAAAGAGCTACGAATGTTGCACCTAAGGCTCAAGCGCTTCTTTCACTAACGTACACCGGACTGTATGTGTGTCAAGTAGTTTAGTAACTTTATTAGTTTAATTGTGAGATTAAAAAAAAGCCAGACTATTTGTTTTGTGGCCAGTGAAAACAAAACCCACGAGAAATAAAAATGAAATCATGACACAGGCTGAGTGTAAAGACGGTATTTGCTCAGGAGGCTGGATGTATTGTTTGCTATGATCAATCATAAATGCGTCAGAGAACTTTCCGTCCTCTGTCTGCTCTCGTACATGCATCTTCTTCATATCAGCTCACAGTTTAGTGTGTAACAAGGTTTTTATACTTAACTAACACTAAACTAAAAACTAGAAGTCAAAATACATTTTTGTTAAATAAACTAGACTTTTGGCACTGTTGCTGTTCACACCGGGTTCTTTCTGTGTGGATCGTGCATGTTCTCCTTGTGTTTCCGTGGGTTCTCTCCAGGTAGCTTCCTACCACAGTCCAAAGACATGCACCTAGTGGGGTTAGGTTAACTGGTGATTCTAAATTGCGCAAAGGTGCCAATAGTTATCTGTCTCTATGTGGTAGCCCTGCGACAGACTGGCAACCTCTCCAGGGTGTACCCCACCTCTCACCCTATTGTAGCTGCGATAGGCTCCAGTTATGGCCAGTCATCCATGTCCTGAAGGAGCCCCAGACCATCAGACTACCACAACCATGTTTGATGTTATGTTCACGAAATGCTGTGTTAGTTTAACACCACATGTAATAGGATTCAAACCTTCAAAAAAGTTTGGCTTTTTTTTTACTGTCAGTCATCGGAATATTTTCCTAAATGTCTTGGGGATTATCGAAATGTTTTTTTGTAAAATGTCACGAACCATGAACTCTCCCATTTTTGCGCTGACACTGACCATAGCTGAGAAAAGTGAAGCCTGAAGTTCGTTGGATGTTGTTCTGGGTTCCTTTGTGACCTCCTTGGTTGGCCACTCCAGCGAAGATTCACCGCTCTTCCAGGTTTTCTCCATTTGTGGGTAATGGCTCACACTGTTTCACTAGAGTCTCAAAACCTTAGAAGTGCCTCTGAAACCCCTTCCAGACTGAGAGCTGTCAATGACTTTGTGTCCTAGCTTTTTCTTTAGATTGTGACATGGTGCATTGCTTTTGAGATCTTCTACACGGCTTCACTTTATCAGGCAGCTTTCTTTCTTGATTCAACAGGTCTGGCGTGTGGCTAGTGAAAGTGAACTCAGCTTTCAAAAAAATGTGGTTAATGACAATTAATTCATCATTTAACAATGGGGGTGGCAATTAGGGCCAGGCCGCTGTTCTTTGCATCACTTCCACTTTGTCCCATTGTCAACTCAATGCTGACATCATTGGTCAGGTCCAGTCATCTTCTTGCCTGCCTTAGATGCCAATCAACCCGCACTCTGCATACTTTCAATCTCAGTGCTCCTGTCATTTTCTGCAACTCACCTCCTTCTCAGTTTTCGCATTGCCCTGGTCACTCAGAGCTCCATCCAACCCTCCATCTTCATCTTCATCACCACCAATAACTGGACTCCAGGGGGTCCTGTCCTGATTCCAATTACCATTGGCATTGCATTCTGCAGTGATGGGTCATCAGAGACTAATCGCCCAAAAGCTTAATTCATTTCTGCAATTATGCTCAATAATTCCAAATGACCTCTCCTTATTGAAGCATATTTATAGCCACTTGGGGCTGGATCTAAAAGTGAGACAGTTAAGACACAAGTGTACCATCATGTTGCTCATTACCACCATTCACCAAGTTTGTGCTTCTGAAATTGTGAAGAAACGTATAAAAAAAAAAAAATCACATTCAGCATATGACATGTGCCTTTATCATCAGGTACACAATAACCTGAGAGCACTGTGTTCAAAAAGGCCACGCTCTTCTTCCACACAGTCTTTTATTTGTAAATAATAAAAATGAACTCTTGAATATAAAACATACACATCAGTAGAGCCACATCTGTTATACAAACAAGAACTGTTGCAGTGAATACTTCATCTTTCGTCTAGTATCGTGGTTTGGGAGTGGGGAGCCATGGGCTGTAAACAATCAGTATTCCTGGAGTAATACTGACAAAGGAAAGGGGCAGTCGGCCGTACCGCCAAGTGCTTCAACAAAAAAACATCTGCAAAATATGTCGTCTGCAAAACCAGGTTTCTTGTTGGCTTTAGAAGTCCAGTCCAAACCAATAGTAATAAACGGGGGGAAAAAAAACATGGTTTTCAGGAAGAGAAAGTAAACTTTGCTCCAATTGGTTCTGCTTGTTTTTCTGCAACTGGGACAAAATCAAAATAAAGGCCTATTGGCGCCCACTTGTGTCTCGTAGCCACTCAGCAGCTCAAGCACTGGACGCGTATTCCCCTCAACAAGACCAGGAATGTTTGTGTGTCAGCGATGCGTTTGTTCGTTCATAACTTAAGTTCAAGCCTAATTTGTATGTACAAAGTGTGCATGTCTGCGTGTATTGGTGACGGGTGTACAGTCAGATACACTCTTTTTTTATATTCATATATCTATATCTTTATAATTTATATCAAACTCATAATGATACTTCATATACATTTAGCTGTTATACACACATTCTCTATCTCTGTCTCTAGCCCCGACCGTCATAAACTACAGTTTAGACACCTACATCCTCGGATACGCCAGGGGTTCGAGTATGCTCAGTACTACAGCACTGTTGTTCAAAGGGTTCAAAGAAAAAAAATAATTCAGACAATTTCTTTTTTTTCTTTTGGAGACTTCCTAATACAGATATTTAGACCCAGAGTGGTAGGCGAGGCCTGGGTGGAATTGTCACCCTCCCCCCCATTAGATCCGCTCTTGTTAGGGGGCGGGGATGGCTTGGCTTTTCTCGGTTTGTATTCATATTCAGTACGAGCAAACTGTACAAGAACATGCAACATACAAGCTGGCCTAAAAGTATGTGGAACTAACACACATAGTCTAGTCTTTTTTTCTGTTTTTGTTTTTTTGAGAATTGTTCCTTAATTTGTCTCGTCTTTCGATTTTACAAAAAAGTAGAGAAACGAACCGAAAAAACGGAACGGAACGAAAGAAACGTGCATGCAGCTTGGGGGCCGGGGAGGGGGCGTCCCCGAGTCATGCTGCTCCCTCCCACAGGGGGAGTTCGAGGGGTTTGGGGAGGGGAGGAGACGGGCGGTGGCGGTCGGGCGGAGGGTATTCAAAGAAATGTGGCCTGGCCTTTGTCATTGGCCTTTGGCATGCCATCGCTCAAAAACCAAACATAGACATACACAGAGGGAGTCTGCACCATGTGGCACCATTCTGGACAGTAGGCAAAAACAAAGGCAGGAAAAAACAAAAGATCCAAAATCAAAAGTGAAATTCTAATCCGCAATTTGGTCTATGTTTTCTTTCCACACGGAAAAGGTTTGGCCTCGATTCGAATGAACGAGTCCAGCTTTTCTTGTCAAGGCTAAGAATGTGCGAGTGCATGTGCAGGCTCCCTTTCCATCACGGTTAAACGGGACCTGTCCCCTTGAGCTCATCACTATCGCCACGGTAAAACCTGAAGAGACAACAGCTGAACCTGTGAAGCCGCAACTATTTGCTACTTCCACACTTTTCCCTGTGGCCTGGCTGTAAGCTCTACTCTGATTGGCTGGAGGGTTACTAGGCGGAGAACCCCACTTTGTTTGGGTGCTCTGATAGTGGCCGCACAAGGAAATACGGAAAAAAGAAAACAATGTTGGACAGAAGCCTCCACTGCTGCAGGTCAGAGGAGAAAACAAAGAAAGCAAAACTTTGAACACAAAAAGGTGTAAGGAGGAGGGAGAGGGAAGGTGTGAGACGTGATTGTCAGACTCCAGCTAAGCTTTGATTGGCTAGTTCTATCTCTCCCTCTCTTTCTCACTCGCATTCCCTGTCTCTCCGTCTGGCTTTTCATCATTTGAAAGAGGGCTTCTCGTCGACATCCTCGGGGCGTGTTGTCACCCCTCTGCTCAGTAGTGGTCCAGTAGCTGTGGTCCATTATACTATTTTGTCACTTAAGGGGTGTTGAGGGGTAGGCGGTCACCGTCCGGTCACTAGGACCGAACGCCCGGCGGCGGTCCTGAGCTGTCCAGTGACGTCTGAGACGCCAGCCGTGTGAGCGGAGCTAATGTAGGGTCCACCAGGGAGGATGGTGGAAAAAGTTTGTACCAGCCGATCACCGTACTAGAGAGGTCCAGCTCCTCCAACAGTATCTGTGCTACACCCATGAAACATTTGTGGTCCAATCGTCCATAGTCACCCCACACTATCACCTGGAGGAAAGAACGGCAGATGAATTGATTTAGGATTAACTGAAAAGACAAAGGTACAATCACCACAACACATAACCTTGAAGATTTCCAGGTTCAAAGCGCAAAGGAAAACAAAATGCTCATAATAAAAGATTTTAAAATGCTTTATGCATCACTTCAAATGACTTACTTACCATTTATTTTTACTTACAGTTAATTATTTCTTTGTTTCCTGTAAAAACCTGATTGCAACTAAGTATTTGTAAGCAAATCAAATCACATTCTAATTTCTAATAAAATACACTGAAATTCCTTTAATTACAGGGGACTTATACCCGTAGTTGTGGCCCGTATCATAGTGTTAACGTTTTCAGTTCTAATCCTGCTAATTAAGTCAAAACAATAAAATAAACAGTAAAAACAATGCACTTTCTCAACACACTCAGTTTTGGGGTTAAACAAAAGCTTGTATTTCCAGAAAAAAAGGTTGTCCACTGTGCTCACTGCGGCCTTCAATGATGCAAACGTTCTTCCCGTGCCTGTACCCTGATCTGTGCCTTGACACAATCTCAGTGTCTCTGAGGCCTACAGACAATCTCTTGGACTTCATGGCTTGGTTTGTACTCACATGCACTGTCAACTGAAGTTGAATTTACCACCACATTTTACCACATTTCCAATTTACCACGTCCCAAGCCTTCCCATAGGAACGTGAAAGGTAACCTTCGCGTCCCTATGATACGCACCGGATTGTGATTGACTCCAATGGAATGACGCTCCCTAACCCTAACCTTAATAGAAACCTTAACCACAACCATAATCATATGAGACAGTGTTTTCCAAAGCGATTCATGACAAAATAAAATAAATGTACAAGTGTAGATTCATTGCAAACGGTTCTCATCCGAACGTGTAACATACAGACGATTTGTCACATATCATCAGTATGTTACGCTTTGGGATGAGAACGTGTTGCAGATGGACTGCGATCAATCAAACTGCTGACAGGTGATCACTGGAAACAGGAAAGCGTCTCGGAAAAGCTTGTGAATGTACATGTTACATTTAGTTTTTTGTTTTCAGTAAAGCTGGAATAAACCTTATTTTACTTTGTAATTATGGGCATGAATCTGAGGTGAAAAATGAATTTAATCCATTTTAGAATATATATATATGTGACGTGTACAATAACATAAATGTGGAACACGTTAAGCACTGTGAATACTCTCTGGATACACTGTAAAGGCTATGGACTATTGGGAAGTACCATAAGTCTATTGTTCCAAGATATACAGTCTATGGCAGTTTCACTGTAATGTCCCCAATAACACTCTGACCTTTCACTATTAATACATTTTTAACTAGAGCTTCTTCTTTCAATGAGTTTTCCCATTAAAAAAGTGATTCATGAAAAAATGTGATCATTACCTGAAGCACCTTGCCCTGGGGACTCTCATCGAAGAGCAGGTGCTGCTGGTAGAGCGGCTCCAGGGTCTTTCGTGCAATCTTAGTTTTCTTTTTGGCTTTACATGTTCCATTATCCAGCAGGTACACTTTTACATAGGGAGCTGAGAGAGTGGTCAGGAGAGGGTAAAAATAAGTTTTATGGGAAAAAACGGGGACAGTATGGAGGTAGCTTTAGGTTGCATCCACCTTAATTTAACTGTAAGTGCTACAAGGAATTAGTTTTGTATGAACGTGTGTTACCTGGGAGGGATTTAGAGCCTGGTTTGGGGGTAAGGCCTCGTGCCCTGATCACCTCCACCTCCAGCTGGCCTTTCTTGTCCATCAAACCAATCTGAACATCACCTGTGGAGGTTTTTAAAACAGACCATTTCAGAGAATAATGTGCAACACACAAAATCTGTCTTTCTCAATCGAGCGGAGCTGATGAAGCTGTGACTCACCCATAGCTGGTGTCGCCAGCGTTTGTCTGCCCACTAGCTGACCGGGGCCTAATCCATCCAAGAAGTCGCTGAACTGACTGTCAGCACCCAAACGCATCCCTGAGAAGATCAAGCTGACATACACAAACACAAATGAAACCTGTCCTCAGTTTTTGACTCCGTCTAGTTTTTAGAGAATCAGTAAAAACCTTTTCCAAAAATTCTTAACAGTATTTGATGTTTGTTGTTTAGAAAGATAACTTTCTGTGTTCCCTGCAGCCAACAAAACAAAACAAAAATGATCTATTCTGATTGCTAAGAGTGCTAAAAGTAAGTAATAGAGGAACACTGACAGTGCCCTCTGTGTGTTGGCAATATTTTCAGCATGTACGTACTTCCCCTCAGAGCTGTAGCTGTTCATGCTGCCGTCGGTCGACTCTCTGCTCGCCTGTCGGTTCATGGCTGACCCTCCTCGTGGATACTCCACCGCCATGCCCGTCTCCACACTCCTCTGGATGCTGCTGCTGCCGGCCTTACCCACCTTCTTACCTGCTGACGCTTCTGTTGCAAACACAGGAAAACGGGCTTTAGCCACTGGTCTTTGCATGTGTCATTCAACCCTAGGTCCTAATCAGTTATCAGGCATCTCTGATGGATTTCTCTTTTTTTGTTGCAAAAATTCAACATGATAACTACAGCCTGAGATGTATCTCTTCAGGCCTTCCCATGCAAAATAACATCCCACGGTGACATCACCAGCATTTCAGTAATACACTATTGTACGACAGACAAATCTATGCAAATCTTTAGATGCTTTTATTTGGGAATTGTAAAAAAAATTTAATGGTACTTAGGTGATGAGGTCACTGCAGGAAAATCTGACTAAAAATCAAAAGTCAGTCCACTCACACCTCAAACGTTTAGCAGGGATGGAAAGGCAAAACTCAGAGGGTTGAGGAAATAACACAGTGTGTGCATCAAAAAGGAAGAGTTCAGTCATTTTCAAAAGCCTGCTGTTTGTTCATTTGTTTTTATCATAAACACAAAGTTCTTTCAGACCCACTTTGATTTTAAATCTAAAATTCAAAGACAAATATTGTATTCTCAGCTCATGAGAACACTCTGAATTCACTGAGTCAGGCTTCTTCCACGACCGAACCAGCCTTTAAGCATAATGGTTAAACAAGAGCGTGGAGTAAGGAAGCGTGCCGGAAACAGTTCTGGAACGGTGTACGGAGTGCTGGGAACATTCATCATTCCTAACTGAACCACTTCTTATGCTTTCTGTGCCTGACTTTGCCCTATTCTGCCTGCGTCTGTGAAAGTGGGACGTGAATGTGATGTTACATCGAACTGCTGCTATACAAAGTACTTAAGGACTAATGCTCCTCCTACTGTACAATGTGGGGTCACGCTCTGTTAATGATCCTGTATTTACTATTCTGTGTGGGGCAATGACAAATCAATTACTATTATTACACAGTTAACCTCCCTCCTTGTTGTATCCTACAGTCTCTGACTTCCTGCCTTTTGCTTTACCTTTCTGTCTGTCCGCCGCCTTACCCGCCGCCTCTGAAATAACACACATAACAACAACAAAGCCAGTAAACAACAGCAACATCAGCACACTGGTTACACTGGTAAACTTGTACATTTTTTAAAACTTGTTCTTCAGGATTTAGTGACCACACTGTATTTATGTATGTATGTATGTATGTGTCCTTTATAAAATCAAAGTACCACTTGTGAAATCCAGCTTGCTTTGTGTAGATAAAGAAGCATCAGATTAAGGAATCAAGTTCAGTTTAAAATGTTATAAATGTTTTAAATGTGTCCCTAAAGTCCTTGAATTGTGTATTGAAGCAATATCAACTAAAATTAAACTAGGGCTAAGCCATACTTTTGTGCAACGTGCACCACAAGATGGTGCAGCAATTCATTGTAAGTCATTTTCATTGTAACCAAGTCTGTTCTTATTTACAGTAGTGCCTGGGGAAAGGCAAAGCCTCTCGAGGAAAGCTGGGGCACAGCAAAAAATTAAGAAAACCAGAAAACCTTCCAGTAAACCCTCCAGTACACCCACCAGTACACCCACCAGTACCCCGCTGTCGTCTGGGGGTGAAATATTTAGCAAAATTCTGCAAAAGGGTAGTCGTGAAAAAAATCCTATTAGTAAGTTAACTTTTCTTGATGAGTTCTTGAGTAAAATTGAATTTTTATGTGAAAACTGTTATTTAACATTTTTTCAAAGTTTTCAAATTTTTTTTAATGTGGAGATTTTGGTCATTTTTGAAAGTTAACAGACTCACAACACAGAAAGACAGAAAAAAAAAACAACACTCAAAAGTTTTTCCTTCTGGACGAATCTTTCCACGTTGTTTTTCTGGGACACTTGGTCAGTCTGTTGTCTGACCTGTCTGGCTAAGCTGCGAGGTACTTCGACTCCTTCTGGATGGCAGGATGGCGACAACACGCTGGCTCAAGCTTGAGCGCCGCTTCTTGATCCCGCTACCCAGGCTCCCGAGTGCCGTGTCTGACTGGCTGCCGTCAGCGTGCTCCATGCCGTAGATCTCACCACTGATGCTGGTGCTCTTCATCATGTGGCGACCCGATGCGCGCATGGCTCGGCTGATGGTGACATTATAAATGATAACACATGTTGTGATACCCTATTTCAAAACGTTTAAATGAGTGTGTGTGTGTGTGTGTGTGTGTGTGTGTGTGTGTGTGTGTGTGTACCTGAAGCGTCCGCGGGGTCTCTCTGACTGGATGGACATGTAGCTGGTGCTACTGATGCGAGAGGCACTGCTGGTTCGAGAGATGGCTGAGACGTCGCTGACATCACTGTCTGAGGACTTATGGGAAACATTTTCACTACTTCTCCTCTGGTCCTTATAGAGCTGCATGAACCACACATCATAAAACAGATATTTTAGAAAACTGCTGTGAAAATGAAGCAAGTAATTCTCAAGCCATCGCCATGGTGACTCGACACCAATCACATGCTCTAGGTTTAAAGCTGTAACAATACATGAGCAATAGATGGATTGTAATCACCTGCAATCATCTTCAGTGACTAAGTGAACGAAGCTAAATTTAAATAATTATTTACACTTTCTTCTGGGAAAACCCCCAAAATAAACCTGACATTTATTTTAGTTTTGACAAACTCAATCAATATGAATGAATTTAATATATAACAATAAGAAGATGGTATGTCTGGTATGTCCTTATATGGAAGCCTACTTTCAATATTCCTATGATGCATTGAGTATTTCCTTTTCAGTCACCTTTCTCACGCAACGTGTTAATAGACCTCTCTGCTGAATCACACTTGTTATTAATCTCTGTCTCTCTTCCACAGCATGTCTTCTATCCTGTCTTCCTTGTCTCCCCCCAACCGGTTGTGGCAGATGGCCCCGCCCCTCCCTGAGCCTGGTTCTGCAGGAGGTTTCTTCCTGTTAAAAGGGAGATTTTCCTTCCCACTATCGCCAAAGTGCTTGCTCATAGGGCAGGGGTGTCGAACTCCAGGCCTCGAGGGCCAGTGTCCTGCAGGTTTTAGATATCAGCCTGGGTCAACACACCTGAATCAAATGATTAGTTCATGACCAGGCTTCTGGAGAACTTTGAGAAATGTTGAGGAGGTAATTTAGCCATTTAAATCAGCTGTGTTGGATCAAGGACACATCTAAAACCTGCAGGACACCCACCCTTGAGGCCTGGAGTTCGACACCTGTGTCATAGGGGGTCATATGATTGTTGGGGTTTTTCTCTGTATGGATTATTGTAGGGTCTACCTTACAGTATAAAGCGCCTTGATACGACTGTTGTTGTGATCTGGCGCTGTATAAATAAAACTGAACTGAATTGAATATAAAATGCTAGCGTTCTGCTGCTGCATCCTGATTGGTCCATTTGCTGATAGCACAACACGCTGATTGATAGAAAATTGCTGTTAGTTACAGAAAAGGATTTTACAACATTATATTTGGCGTACAAGCTATTAAAAATCTAAAACTTGAACCAGGTGTTTTCCATATAGACTGTGCATCATGATGCATCTTTTGGTCTGAAAAGTGAGGGTGAAGAGGAAGAACTGCAATCTTTCTAATGACCAGCAGAGGGCAACTCTGAGTTTTTCATAAAGAAGTCTTCTTGTGTGGACCGCTAAAGGGAAAGAACACATTTGACTCCATTTTTCATGGCCTCAGGAAACTTCCTGACATGTTTATGGTCTCAATCACTAGTTTTAAGCTGGTTGTTTCGTAAATCATAGTACGCATTAGAGTGAAAAAGGATTATAAAGCAGCACAAACCTACTGTGTGCTACCATATGTCTCCCTTGGTTTACCAGTCAGATGTGAGTTCAGTACAGTGACAGACACTCATGCATTGCCATATAGGAGGATGACAAATTACAGGGCAACCAGCAATCTGAGTTGTTAGGTGGATGAGACTACTGTACACTGGGAACTCCAGCTGCTGCTAATGTTTTTAGATGCTTAGATGCATCCAAGCTCTAATCACCTTCCACCTAAATGTTGTGTTTGTTTTGTCTGCTATATTAAAACATGCTTTATTTTCTGATTAGCCTTCTGTAATGCATCACACAGACAAAAAGAAGAAGTTAAACTACTGGCATGTACATATTTTTAAACGTCACAATATCAATATTAAACTATTTTCTCTAAGGGAAAAAAATAGAGAAAGCAGCTGGTATGGATTATACATTTTAAGATTCCAAGCGTTAACTCAGTTCTTGAGTGGCTGCCCATTTGGAAATGATTCATTTTATGGAGTGGTCTTCACCATTACTGTACTGTAATTTATTACTTTCTCAGACAGTCAATGCAATTCGCTGCGATGCACTTGAGCAGCATTATGGTTCATTCTTTCTGTCTGGCTGGAACCTTTATTCTCCTCCTCCACTCTCCAGACGAGCTTGTTTTAAAGCGAATGGTCAGGCTACCTCTCGTTTATTCTTGAGCGCTCGGTCAAGGTCCTGTTGGCTGGAGGTGGCTGGAGCTGAGACCCGATTGGAATGAACCCTCATCTGGAGCTGACGGACACGCTCCTCTGCTACCAGGGCTGCACGGTGAAGGAAAGAAACTTGAAAAACTAGTACTTGATCGGACACTGCACAAAAATGACCCTATATGGGTCAACCTTTCTTTGTACCTTGTTCTACAGTGCTGCTCTTGGGGGGAAGCTGTGGGAGTTGCCTCACTCTGCGAGTTGATGAGGACGTCACCGAGGAGGAAAGAGACCCACCACTTTGGAGGTGTCCCCTAACACAAAACAACATGACGGAAAGCAGAAAACAGAAGGGAGAGGGGAAGGGGAGACATGGTGGAGAGAAGAAGTGTGAATATAAAGGAAGGATGAAAAGTGTGAAGATGGGAAGAAGGGAAAACGATATTAAAGTCATCACATTTGCAGTCGAGAGAGCCATTCGCTGGTGGAATTTGATGTCTTCACGTTATCCCATTCACACAGTGAACAAAATGTTGACAAGTACTCGACATTGGATGAACCTGCTGCAATTTCACATTTCTCGATGTTAGGCGAGTATCAATTGACATAAGGTTGCAAAACAAAGACATGACGACAGAAGCTATAGGAGGAACATCGACGTTGGAAACAAGACAACAGCAGCAGCAACATTTCGATCAAACATCATATTCACAGAGTGAAGCAAAGTGAGGCTTGTTTGGGGTTCACAGTGAGGGACTCTGTTGCCAGTAAGAGAAGCAAATCAAGATTTAAACAGTGAAACAACACACTGAGAAAGTGAAAGCCTTCAGGCACAAATCCCACCACGACTGTACACATCCATCCATTCGACACATCCATTCTCACATAACACTTATTCCCTCTCCTACTAGAAATCTTGAAATTTGGGGCTCCTTTCCACTGGACTACTAATAACAAGGGTTATTCATGACATTTTGTCATTTTATTTGAATATAGACTGCAAAGAAGTGGTTTGTAGCTTTTGGATCTGAGAAGTGAAACAAATGTACGAGTGCCTATAAACCAGCATTGTTTCTAATGGCCAGCAGGGGGCGACATCTCTGATTGCGAAAAAGTCTGGCTGAGTAAAAGGCTGTTTTGACAATTGTCCTCCCTTTCACTCAATCTAAACATTTTCTTGATGAGTCTGTGGTTTCATCCTAGTGTCAAGTCTTCTTTAAACCTTCAAGTTTTTAAGTTTTGAGACCTGAAATGTAAATGGAATGATTGAACACATTTAACACAATTTATTGGGCTATGTGCTGAATTTAGAGGTTAGAAGCAAAGTATCGTTCTGATACCAATACCAGCGTTGGTATCAATACAATACACACCTCTACTGGGTTTCTCAATCAGAGGCACCCTTAGCTCACCCATGAGCAGATATATTCCTGGTCATTGATAAAATTACTGTTAAATGAAGCTTAATCATTGTCCGAGTATTAAAATGTTGAGATATGAACACTTACCACAAATTCCCACATCCACTCAGAAATTACACATACAAACAATGACTGCAGAGTCCACACAACACATATACAACAACTACACAAACAGCAGCAGCATCTGATGAGATGCGGCAAAGACATTTCACCAAACACACATACAAATGCTGACAGAAGCAGCAGCAGCCCTGTGTCTTTCCTCTCCACGAGTCTCTACAGTGAGCAAACAAGACTCTGGTTAAATGAGTTAGAGGAAGGCTGATTTAAGATGAATCCATTTACCAAGGGGACACAGTGGGGCTTTCTTTCCCCTGGAGCCCATTTAAATGGAGGTGGACTTGTTTCTGGTGTACATACACACGAGTGCCATAAAAACCCGGAGCCCAGCAATACAGTGTGTAAGCAGCAGCATGCAGGGACAGAAATGGGGTTGAGGAATGGGAAAAATGGGGGGAAAGGAAGAATCCATAAAATATACAAGAAATGATGTTAAATGAAGGCAAACCTAAACAGATTCGTTTATGAGTAACATTAGTTTAAATTTAATTAACATTTTAACAATACAAACTTCATAAGAAAAGCATGAAAAAGTTTTGCACTACAGCATCACTACACTTTTAACCATGCCTCCAAACACAATGAGGACTATTAATAGTTTTATGCTTCTGTGTTCACAGCCTGAAGTCGCAAATGATTGCATGTCCCTCAGATAGCGCTAACCAGCATATGTCAGCTTGTGTTTATGGTAGTAGACGGCACACTGGAGCAGCTGGACCCAAATATAGTAATAGATCTGGATGGAAGTCACAGCACTTTCAGTCCTTTACCAGATTCAGTCCCAACATTAAAACCAGGCAAAACAAGTAACGCACTGATTTCAGGTGTTGCAGTTTACAATATGCTTTATATTGTAAGGTGAACATCCTAAAACATTTATATTAGAACACCCCAATGATGAGACAACCCTCTATGAGAAAGCACTTGGTGATTGTGAGAAGAAAGAACTCCCTTTTAACAGGAAGAGACCTCTGACAAATCTGGCAAAGCATCAACAGGAAGTAATAAAGAAGCAAACCAAAGGATTTGATGCCAGCATCCCAGTGCAACAGAACAACTGTCGAGGCATGCAGACTCCATGTCCCTACAGATCTCTCCCAAGGTGTCATAAAATTTTACAGGGTGGTTTTAATGTTGTGGCTGATTGGTGTCTATATAAACATTACAGAGGGTAATGTATAACGCAGATGTTTAGCTGGCTGCGCAATTAAGGCTTTGATTCACTGTATATTTCCATGTGCCCAATGAAGCCCTGACCCCTGGGTACTCCACTCAGTGTTAATAACTGGCATTTTTACACATTATCATGTCATTATCAGCAGCTCCAATGTTTAAGAAAATATTAAACACAGAACCTAATTTCCTTTTTTATAAGCATTTTAGCACTTTCACTTTGGAGATGCTAATAGTAGCAATTATTCATTATATAAAAAAAAGTGACTTTTCCTACTACTTAACTAAAAGTCTTTAGTATCCTAAACAAAGAGGCATCTCTATGGTATACATGCAGTGGAAGAATCTAAGACTTTTATAGCACTGTCTAAAAAATAAAGCCCTACAAAACATATGTGGTAAAACCAGCAACATAAATTCCTGGTGTGACACATAACATTTGTATCAGAATATCTTTCATGCTTACAAGGACCACATGGAGCCCTTGGGAAACACGTACTGACACTATGTTCCATATCTCGATCATTTATTGCACGATGATGTACTACACTGTCACTGCAGATCAGCAGATACATTCATCTCCACTGAAATCAATGTGCACTTACAGGCTCTTTCTGACCACGACAACACAGAAACAGCCAATGAAAAAGGACCCTAAGTGATAACTGAAATTAAACTCACTAATTAGCTTGTGCTTGAAATTAGACCGTGGCAACCCCTTAAACTGAAAATCAAAGTGTCAAAACTGCTGATCCTGCAATGGTTCCTTGCATGTCTTACAATCTCCACAGACTCTCATATATTAAAATGCTGATACAGGCAACTTTACTCAATCGGACTACTGTCATTTGTGTCAGTGACCTGGTTCTCTTCATCTTGTTTGTCCTATTGGTGCTTTTTGGGATATTTTTAGTATAATTATATGACAAATATCACCTGCTGTCTGCTACAGTCCATTAATGCTAATTTATGAGTCTGCTTACTTAGCTCTAATTAGCAGATATATATGATGCAAATGTGCCACCTTCTGGCTCTAGCAGTGAAATACAGTAGCAGCCAAGGTGCTAGCATTGTGACTTCGAAATTTTAGAAATCCATGCTAACTTTCACAGTGGTTGTGCCTAACTGTGGCTAAGCATTAAGGGCCTCATAAAATACTTGGACCTATTTATAACTAATATCTGCTACCAAGTACTAAAACACAGCTTCTTCCCAGCTGGTGAATGCATCTAAGAAGCTTTGTGTGAAAACAAGCCACCTGAAATATGCTGAGCGTGCCGCACACGCCTTACCTGCCACTGTCAAAGAGCTTCCTGCCAAGAGTGTGGCTTTCAGGTGTTTCCAGGGTCCGAGGCTTCCTGGAGAATGGTGGATGAGTAAAGAGGACAATACACCACAGAACAAAAAAAGATGGATGGATGGGTGAATGAGGGGATGGAAGAGAGCATGATGGTGGATAAATCATTTCAATTTAGAAGGGCCTGACTCTGTCTGGAGCCGTCACCGGCCTTATAAGTTTATGATCTGTAAAACAGGAAATAGGAGGAATCCTGTGATGGATGGTAAGATGATGATAGGAATAAGGAGTGTTATACAGTCATGCTTCATCTGTAAGTGTGCCTGTGTGCGTGTGTGTGTGTGTGTTCATAAATGTGTGTGTGTGTTCATAAATGTGTGTGTACCTCTTCTTTGTACTGAGGTGAATTAAACTCTCTTGAGACGGAAGTAGTATCCATATTCTCCATTCACGGACATGAAGATGACAAGGATGATCCATGCACCGCCCCACGCACAAACACAAACACACCCACAGAGACACACACACACACACATACACGATCACACTTATGATATGAATTGTGGATTGCATGAATTTTATACCACTAATGAGCGATACGCCTTCAAAAAAAGACTTCCCAAGACTAAGAGGAGAAGGAAAGCACACAGAAGCTGCGGATGCAAATTCCTTAAACAAAAATGTAACTCGGAGAGACTGTGGGAAGCAAAAGCAAAAGGGCAGGATTTCACACCAGAGCCAGTACAAACTACCTTAACTTCAAACGAGCACAAACCTGATACTAAAAATCACAAAGAACAGAAAGTCAACTAAACAAAGATACAGCAACAACAATCACGACCGAAAACTGCTGCTACCACTCTTTGCATTAAAGGGCAAGCCAGAAGAACACAACCCACACACTAAAAGCCACACAAATAATCCTTTACACAATGTGAGCGACAAAGTTAAAGAAAAAAATTGTATATGCCTAGAGGACTTTTTTTTTTATTGGGACAAGTTCTACTTTGTAGATCGTATTCACTCTCACTGAGATCAGCTCATCTATTACTAAAGTTTGCAGCAGAAGGCTAAATTGCCAAAAGTGATAATAGATTGTGATTTTATCTTGTATTTGTCCAAATAAAAATGCAGTCAAAGTAAAAGGTAAGTCAATAGCAATAAACCTATATTTCTTGTATATATTCTTGTCTGCTTGATGTGCAACTACAACTAGAAGGTGTTAGCGTAGCCTAGCATACAGTCTTAGATTAACGAAAAAGCTAGTCTGGCAAAGTCCAACCAAAGTATTACTGCTGGTCATATATTTTCAGAAATGTTACCTAAAATATCTTTTGTAATTGATTTATGATGACCTCTTGAAATTTGAAAGCCAAAACCTATTGGTCTAGCAATGAAGTTGTACTACATGCTACAAGTGTTGCCAAATCTTTAGACTTTTTCCTCTTTTTGATTTTGGAAGTAGATAAAGTCATATCCAGACTTCCCCTTTACTAAGGATCTAAACCTTGTCCACCCAAACCTCTAAAGCTCACTAATCAGTTGGCATTTGTTATTTATTGCATCATTAGGACAAAGTCAGGGTAGTTATTACCCCATGTACTGAGTTTAGGCTAGTTTGCGCTATATTTTGTACTAAAATTAGTTTAATTACACTTGTTTTATATGATACAAGATAAAGTCACTTGCCAAACTTGCGGAGAGCTGACGAATTGGAAAGTTGAAAAGGTTAAATTGTAAAATCACTACTAGTCATTCATAGAAATATAACAATCTGGCAAAAAGAGCTTGGCATTTGCCTCAACCCAATAAGACCCAACTAAGCCAAGAATATTTCCACTGGGTTTGACAAAAATGTGTTTCTTACTAAAACTACTGTAAAAAAAAAAAAAAAAGAAAGAAAGAAAGGAAAAGAAAAAGAAAGTAACTTGGCAAACTTTAGTGTTTGGGTCATAATGGCGTGATATTTTAAGGCACAAGTCAAGCTCCGACAAGAAGCAATTGGGTGAGAATGGTCCACAAAAGGGTACCTGTCATCTTCAGGGGAAGCATGTTGAATAAGAATCCTTGGACTTGCCGGACGTCTTCGGGGCAGGGAATGGGACAAAGATTTTCTATGCGTACACATACAAAATACATCACCCATAGGACCAAATCAGCAAGTCATTAAAAATTCAAGAGATTCGCTTTTCCAGTGTCAGGAAAGTGCACAGTAAAAAGTTGTTTTTGCTTGCCATTGCTATGGGTACATTTTGACTACCTGGGAGTAACAGAACAGGCTGTAAACACAATATTAGCACGCTATCACCTTATAAACTGGATATGGCAAGTTTGTTAGCAAATGTTTCCCCATTTTCACATTCCACATTAGCTTTATTTTGTGTTGTGTTTCTAGACACTTAAACGCAAGTCTATATTTTTCTTTTAGCTTTAGCTTTTCGTCTCATTTTCATGGACAGCAAAGATCAATTGTTCGGGCATTTCTTTTCTGCATTAAAACGTGAAACACTTATATGTGAATCCCACTGTTTACAGTGAAGTTATGTTATCACTTTACAACCAGAAGGAACAACATGAACGACACAGTGACTCTGAAGTAAATGGACAAATGCCAACAGGACTTTTGTATTAAGCATTGAAAAGACAAAAGTAACTGAAAAGACGGTCTACTACAAAGCAAGTTCAGAAGAACCAGGCTTTTTTAATCTTTGCTTGCAGGGTGGGTCTACCTTTGATTAATGCTTCACCTGAGGCTTTACAAAGGGATTTCACTAACCAACAGGTGACATCACCGTGACTACATCCATAATTTATATACAGTCTATAGGCTCAAGAGGTTTACTTATTGTGTCTCTTAGAATTAGTAAAACTGCATCATTTACACTTATTTTTGCTAACCAACTGATCTTGCTTCGTAGTACATCCTTTCGACCATCTAATGTTGGGAATAATTTCAAGGAAGTGACAAATCAAAAATTGTAAGGTAAACTGATTCCTTTGTCTGATAGCTGGTTATGAAGTTGTCTTTAAACTGACCCAAATACTCAAAATGCTGCTTGCCAATGAGACTTTGCGAAAATCACAACACCATCATGAACAACCTTGAGGACAGAGGTAACAAAGGGGATTTGCTGGAATAGTAGAGTGGAGCACAATAGTAGTGTAGGTGGGGTGAGGATGATATCAGGCTAGTGTAGGATCATTCAGAGGTGAAGGAACTACAAAGACCAGGGAAAGCTGAAGTGCAGGAGGACTACAGGAAGGGGGTTGGGCACAGAGGCTGGTACCTTTCAGTCTCTGGTGAGGGGGCATGATTGTTTGGAGCCAGACAGTTGGCACTAGCGCTCCTAACCCTGTCCAGAGAAGGCTGCAGATCACTAGAGGCACCACAGCACAACATGCCATCCAATGGAGGAAGAGGAGGAGGAGATGGAGAGGAGACAGGGTGGGAGGACAAAAACAGACACAAAGAGAAAAACAATGGACAAACAGAAAAAGTCTTTTAAAAGAAAGTCTGGTTAGATTTCCCAAATCATAATGCTGTTCTAAGAAATTAAACCATGACTGACCCAGCTGGTGTCAGGATGGCAGTGTCTGTACATTGTAATGGTTGACATGGAGATGGAGTATGGGGGAAAACGTGTCTTCTAGCTGTTACTGCCAAAACTAGACTGATTGATCTCTGCATTTTTCCCAACGCGGAACACTTAAACATCCATGTTAACCATCAACCATCATCAATGTGTGTGTGTGCCTTACCGATGTGTCACCTCATCATTAGACCACAGATGTGTGGTGGAGCGGCATGTCGCCATGACCATTTTCAGTCTCGCTACAGAGTTACTTATTTAATATGCAAGCAGCGTGGAGCTACTGATGAAATGGAAATTTCAAAAAGTGGAATCATTTGTTAACGAAACTAAAGAAATGAAAGAAAACAGGTTGGAAACTAATCAGAAGACTCTGCTGTGATGGAAGGACTGAACCGTTAACCAGTCCAATATAAGTTGACACTGGTACTACAAATTGTCTGATGGCTTCAGTATGCTTCAAATGGAGCGCGAAGAGCAAGAGCAACATCTAATAGCACCTCAAAGAACCTTTCTGACAATGAAAATGTCATCTCAGTCAATTATTTTGTTGTCTTTTTTCAAAGTCTTACAGTCATACTTTTTCTCTGTCGCTCTTGGCTAGGAGCGCTCAAGGTATGACAGCAGACAAAAAGTAGGCGCCATTTTTTGTAATCAAGTTCACACAAGTAAAGGTTCTGCAGAAACCCTTTAATAACTGCTGTTAATAAACAGTAAAACTTTTATTAACGCCTTAATGACAGTGAATGTTATGCTACATAACATTATACTGAAGCTCTTCTGGTTGTTTATCCAGTTATTCAAAAACTGCATTAGATCTGTGATTGCTAAAGTGTGAGTTCTGCAAGAGGTCATTTGAAATAAAAGCTGTTGATGGTGAATCAATTTCAGAAAAAGGTCCAAATGAATCTATGAAAACAAAAAGATGAATAATAAAATGTACTCATGTAATAACTTATGTGGATGCTCCTGAAGAAGACATCCACGCAGGAAGCAACAAGGACTGATGTGGCAATCAGAGAACAAAAAAGTCGTCGGGATTCAGTAACTTGAAGCGATGAGTCAAAGTAACCGCTGGTAACGAGAAGTGGGCGGGTCCAAATGTAAACTTTTTCAACTTCAAGGCAAGTGATTGTATGAAATACCATAGAAGGATGCTGTTGGCTGGAATGTGACTGCATATTACATACAATATAGTGTTACTAAGGCAACTAAAGCCTGGATTGTCCTCAAGCGATTAAATGTCTGCAACAAAGCAGCAGGTGACGAGCAAATTGTTCCCTGTGCTGTTGCCCCTTTGGTATTGTGTGCTGACAAGAGATACTGCATTCTTTTAAATGGCCAGCAGGGGGAGACACCTGATGTCCATTTGAAAACAAACATGGGGAAATGATCAAACACATTCAAGAAAAGATCCTTCTGAAAACCTTATGGGCTCAATTAAACATCTGAAGTACTATATAATGCAATTAATATTTAATGGGCATTATTTTTTTTATCATGGTCCCCCTTAGAGGGATAACTTTATTTATTTAAAAAACAAAAAGCAAAATGTTCAGCTTGAGGATTCACCAACAACAGGTGACAACTCTGAGCAGGTCAATCTTTTACATACAGTCTGTGATCTACCTTGGTAAAATGTGAGTTTTCTAAAAGTGGCATGAGAATAGGAATACGACACAGGGAAAGTCCCTTCAGATTTGGACACTTTCTCCATTTGAACCAATTGAACTGAAGACTTACCTATTTGCCTGTTTGCGGAAACTGCTGAACAAAAGTGGCATCTTAGGTGGCAGTGTGTTATTGTGCCTAGTAGGTCTCCTGATGTTAGCATGCATGCAGCAGACACAAGCAGGAAAGGAAGCCGGAAGGAAAAGGAGGAAGAGCAGAAAAAAAGTATATAGGAGTGCATGGACAACAGAAAGATACAAAGGGGGAAAGAAGTGGCATCTTATCCAGTGATCTCATTGATTTTTGATTTGTTAATTATTTAGATTTATTTATCAACATGTTTCTAGATATTGTGGTCATTGCAAAAATCACTGGCTAAGATTTTAGGGTGTTAAAGCATAAGTAAGCACATTATCTCTGCATTAAGAGCGTACAGTCAGCAGCAGCCAGATCTCTTCTCTACAGACAAACTTAGCACTTTACACCCTCCTTTCCACAAACACTTGTACACTTATACACTTGTGTGTATAAAAAGTACAAAAAGTGTCCTAGGTTAGATACTAACACAGCTACGGTTGTATAGGGGGTTTATATACCTCTAACAAAGGTATATATAGTGTAACTTACCTCTTTGGCTGTGTGCTCAAATGGCACAAATGTAAAAGTCACTACACTACACGTGAACTTAAAAATATAAATAATAATCAGTAAGAGTCATTACATGAAAACTGTCACGTTTGGGTTCCTAACATTTAAAGGGAAAAACAAAACCGCCAAAAATATAGTTTCCAGTGACCAAACACACTAAATGCAAAATGTCTCCTGTGTCTCATGTAATATATGTAATAACTTTTTTGTATTTTGTTTAAGCAGCACCAACACTTCTCTCTTAATGGGAAATGTAGCAATCAAGTGTGAAAAATAAGTATTTTTGGATGAAATAATATTATTCATGTTTTTAATTAATTTAGAGCCATGCAGGTTTACACAGGCTTACAAACAGCACTGTATATGTGTGCATACTGGTGTTAACTTTGACCACATAGAGAAATTCTGACACATCATTTTGAATTTTTCTATCCAATTTGATTTTACCTCATCTCAGGCTATAGTGTTGGCTGTATTCCTGTGACTGGGCCAAACTAACTATCTGACAAACGAGTGTATTAATAAAAAAGATATTTGACGAGTTCCCGAGCTTTCAAATCGTGCATTATTGCAGGTTTTAAAATATGCTATGAAACACAAAATTCATAGTTTGGTTTTGACCAGAAACAGGAGGACCAGTACAGTTTCCATGGAATGACCCAAAAGCCTTCAGACTAAATAAAGATATTGGAGCATCATGCAAAAAGTGCCCTAAATCGTTTCAGTCAGAGACAGAATTGGTGCATATTCATCATTTGGACGTATGAAAGCAGGTGTACACTAAGCAACATTTCGTTTTAAGTCTAGCCCAGGGGTGTCGAACGCCAGGCCTCGAGGGCCAGTGTCTGGGTCAACACACCTGAATCAAATGATTAGTTCATGATCAGGCTTCTGGAGAAGTAGTAGAGAAATGAAATGTTGAGGAGGTAATTTAGCCATTTAAATCAGCTGTGTTGGATCAAGGACACATCTAAAACCTGCAGGACACCCACCCTCGAGGCCTGGAGTTCGACACCTGTGGTCTAGCCCCTGCAAGCTGTACTGTTGGACTGATTCTTGAAAAGCAGCAAAGTCTGAAACCAAGCATGGTCCTGTAGTGTCCTCTTGTGGATCTGAGGCAGCAGTACAGCTCGATTACCACAGAATTTCAGCTCACTGGCCTCCTTTTTGTCTCCTTATTTAGACATGACACATTGTGTTTTTCTTACAGTTATTTCATTTAATGAACGGACTAAAACCAACTAATGTGTCTGTGTGTAAGGTCTGATATAACTCGGTTCTCTTTTGTAATGCTGGGAAGTCAAAGTTTGCATAGGATTTGTTCACATTTCTTTTCTGTATACATTTCACATTACACGGGATTTTTATTACCTCGATTTCAGAGGCATATTCGTTTCACTCTTAAATAACAGTCTTGAGCGACAGACTGCAATTAGAGACAATCTGACAAAAACACACCTCATCCACAACCAACATGTAAACATGTCACGATTGGCCAGTTTACCTGGTGTGCAGGCACTCAGCACTTTTGCCTCGCATTGATTGGTGGATCGTGAAGACCTCACTGTGGTAACCATGGGGATGGATGACATATGAGGAAATCAACAACAGTTAAAAAAACCCCAGAAGAGCAGAGGGGAGAAGAGAGTGAATAGGAAAGAGAGCTTTGGCTGGTTCCACACAGTCACACAGATTCAGAAATTCAGTTTTGCAATCGAGAGCTTTCAACCTAAACACTGAGGTCTGAGGTCACCTCGTGCAACATGAAACTCAACAGATAGCTACGGCATCAAACGCTTTTCAAGAAACAAAACAAAAACAGACAAAAAGCAGCAACTATTTAAATCTAAGAGACCAGTAAACAAAGTTTGACTTGGCAACACAGGCACTCACACTCTGTACACACTTTTTCAGCGGATGCGGATTTGCACAAAAAACTAGGCCCTTGTACAACATAAAGCAACTCTGATGACATTTACACTACAAGTGGTGACCAAACACAGGCACGCACCTGTCGTCCAGATACCCTTCCCCTTGATGGCGACCTCTACCAGCGTCGTAGTAGCGGGACGGAGAACGAGAACGGTGACCGTGAGAAAGCTCATCATCCAGGCTCCTGAAGGAAATGTAAATAAATAAATAAATGGATGGACGGATAAATGAGAGACTGACTTGTGAGGTTAGTGGTCAGGTGGTATTGCGGCACACTGCTGCTCGGTTTCATTTAGCTCAGTCACTAAAAGCAGAGCTGGCAGCACTGCATGTTCTGAGCCAGACAGACATTTCATTAGTAGATGGACTCAGTTTGCTGGCTTCCACAAACGCTCATGTCCTGTCTGTTTTTGCTGAATCTTGGTTTTGCCTCTTCCATGCATTCACTATCGTCTCCCCAGGCCGATATCGGTCTTTTTAAGTAATCATCGTCAGACGTGAATCGACAGAGCTCTTTCAAAGGACTCAGCAATCGGTCCAGGGCAGTGCGTTCGAGACAATTTATGGCTAAAATATAACCGTTTGGACAAATAATGGGGAGTAAAATCCTGCCTTACTCAACCCTCACCTCTGGAGGGGGACATTGGGTGGCCGCGACCGGATGCGCCCCTGCTCCTCTCGATGAGGGGAGACGGAACGAGAACGTATGTGATGGGTGGGGGTCCTCTGCTGCTCAGGGACCTCCAGGGTAGATGTGGACTCCCGCTGCCTCTCCCTGCCACGTCCATCTGCTGCTATGGAGAAATGGCAGCACACATGCGCACGTACATAAACAAGATCATAGCAAAGTAAGTGCAATTCAGAGTGTATACTTTAATAGTGACAAAACCTTCAGTCTGTTAAATTCATAAGAAAGGAACGGTATAAAGCAGTACTACATAATCCATATACAGTCTCTTCTTGAGTGAATAATATTACTAAAATAGGTTTGTTAACTCTAAGGTTTTCCATATGATCCTGGCAAACATTAATGATATACAATAACTGTCATTATGCATACATGGGAAGATGCGTGGGCCTTGAAGTTGCAAAAATGTGCTAATGGCTTTAAAATATGGCTGTTAGTCAAGATCAGTAGTGGAACATAGCCAATATAGCCAGTATGAATTAGAGTGAAATGCATTTTTCTACAGTATCTTTTTTTAATCTGCATTGTTTCTTATCCACCACCATATCTGCAAAGCCATACATTAGCTACAGTCAGGCCGAATTACATTTATCATTTGCCTACAAGACAACTTCTGAACTGTTTCCACTTAAAAAGAAAAAAAAATCATATTAAATCATAACATCTGTGACTAAATCTTGTTAACAGTCTGCTGTTTTATACCATGTACATTTAATTCCATTCTAGTCACCTGCTAAGTTCTGAACTAAACTAATGTCTATTACCCTTACAACATGCTATTAGCCTTCTACACATTAGCACTAAAAATACAGAGGAATTCATGATACTACCTCATATTTGATAATTAAATTCATGTTCATTTTCTGCTACCTTACAGCATTTGTTTATAACTAAGCTAATGTCTGCTACCCTCACAACACATTCTCACCAGAGTGATCATCGTGTAGGTCTGTTCCTTAACTCTTTCTCGATGCATTAATCAGTCTGGATGAAACTTATTAAATAAACGTAGGGTACCAGGATTACATCTGTATAGCTTTTGAAATAAATCTGTATACATGAGGTTTACTGTTATTAAATTTAGCAAAAAAACTTTTATTTCTGTGGCATTTTATGGTCACTGGAATGTATTGTCATGCATGTCTGTAAATACCTGTTAATCAAACAGTGATGCTAACACTGCCTTTAATTGATTTGTCTTATTACATGAATATGTAGCTTGCAATGAACAAGAAGAAAGAAATATATGTAATTTTTATTCATTTGGTGTTTACGTACAGAAGTTTTTGCATTCTCACTATATACACTGATATAGATAAAATAAAAACAACAACATAATTTAACATACACATCTGTGTTTTAGCGAAACACTGCAGGCCTAGCTAGTTTAAGTTACATTTTTATACCCAGAGAAGTTATAAAAGACATGATTATTCATGCTACTGACCCTGCTTCCACTTATGTAGTTTAAACTCATGCTCATAGCCCTCACAACATGGATGATTGACTTCATGTCAGTAACCTGTTAGATACAAACACTATATAAAAGATATAAGAAGTCATGCTAGTGGCCTTCCACCTCATGTGTAACCTGATTTAAAACCATGGTAATGGTCTTACCTTACAGCATTCGTCTCTATAATTATGTTAATGTCTGCTACCCTCACAGAAGGTAAGTTTAGCTTTATTCCACATGCAATTTACTTATATGCCAGTAGCATGTTACCTTACAAATCTTAAAATACTTAAAATTTTTAAAAATCTTGCTAATAGCCTATTAAATTACATTACTTGCAAGCTTAAAATGGATGTAGCCTCCGGGTTGGGATAAAAAAAGGCAATAGGTGCCTTTGCCTGCTTTCTGAAGGCCAATACACCAAGGCCAACTGTGGTTGTAAAAACACTTTATTCCTACAGAAGGCTGTGGGAAAACAACTTTCTAACTAAACACTTTCCTGATGAGTTTATGTGCTCAGTAAATAATTTTTAGTCATAAATAAAAAATATAATATATTTTGTAACTCTTGTTCATACTTTGTTTCACAATAGAACAATATACAGGGCGTGGTCATTGGCTAATGACTGTGAATGACTGATTGTTGTTAGCCAATGACCGAGACCCCCTCCCAACACTTTTTCTGGAAATCAGTGTGGTGATGTTAAAAACGCTAAGCCCATGGCTTCAAACCAGAAAGTCATAAACCTGTGGATGATGTCACAGTACACACATCCATCTTTTAAACAAAACACTTCTGTTTTGTTTGATTTTTGTAAGTTTTGCAGCATTTTCTTTTTCTATTTCCACTGTGTTCAACTAATCTGCTGTTTTTTTTTCTTAACTTGCATTTGACCTCTCAGGGGAATCATAATTATCTCCAGTATGGTCCTTTCAAGCACACAGGCCCCACAAAAAAGCCCCACTCACCTCACCACCTGATTTTTCTGTTTAGCAGCCAGTAAGCTGGTTTTAAGGATGAGGGTGGTACCAAATACAAGTATAAGATAAATGAAGATTATTTTAAACTGTAAATCTGTCAGATTTGGTAAAGTACACAAATATGCAGTTATCTTTGTACACTACTAAAATACTGCTGCACCTAGGTTCCATACTGGACTTATTGTGAAAGGACCACAATCTGTCTCTATTAATGGATAATTAAAACAACAACAACAACAACAACAACAACATCTGGTGCAATGTAAGAAGTTTTGGGGTCATTTCGAATCTCAAGTTATCAATTTTTAACCAAATAACTTAAATTCTGGATTACGAAGCAAGCCTAAATGTAACGACTCTTTAGCAGCTCTCATTTTTTAAAAGCTATAGTTACACACAGATAACACAGAGAACAGAAGTGCAAGCTGCAGAAAACCTGCATGTAAAACTAAGAAACAGTCCCAACCCACCTTTAGATACTACTGCTGTACCCTCATCAAATTCAGCCTCTGTTACACGCTGAGAACCTAAACAGTAATAGACACACACACAAAGATACCCACAGATGTGTACACACACCACAAACGCATATATATGGATGCACACATCAAATGCAGTATTAGGGAAATGGAGTGAAAGCAGACATTTACATAGACACGCATGCTAAACTTTGCTTATGGACAGGATGTGTACACTTACAAGCAGAAATATATGAAAGAGCTTATGCATGTCATGTTGCACACGACACGAGATCTTGACAGACTTACGCTGCAATTTCTTGCCAGGGGCGTCTATGTGTCGTCGGGGCAGGTATGGGGAGGGCTGGGGCAGTGGTATGGATGAGACATCATGAGTTTGGAGGGGATACCAGTGAGGCTTGTCGTCCAGTAAGGCCGTCTCTAGCTCCACCAGGACCTGTTCAAGTCATCAACCACGCAGTAAATATGTGCTTTGTAAAGAAGTTAAATGTTTAAGGGTTAGGCATTCATTTTTGATGGTTAGGGTTAGGGTAAGGTGCTAGGGAAAGCATTGTGTCAAGTAGATGTCTCCACAAGATATGAATTCCCGGCATGTGTGTATGTGGATGTGTGTGCTACCTCTCCCAGAAAGATGCTGTCCTCCTCTGGAGACCTGGGTTGGTCCCACACGGTCAGCTCCAGCATGTGGTTTCGGAAATCCCTGCGATGGACGTGACTGTAGACGAATGTCTGGTTCCACTTTGGCTCACAGGTCTTCTTCACTGTTTTTGTCCTTCGTTTGCTCTTGTCACTGTGTTAAACAACAGATTCTTGCCTTTAAAGTCAGTTGAATGTTGATTTTGATTCTAGTCCCATTTGTGCCTTATTCAGCTGACTGGAACTGCTTTCTTTAAATATAAACGAGATGCTAAACTCACAGTAGAGTGTCTTTTCCCAAAAAACCCTCTTTGATTCGTATAACATGATTACTGAAGATGTGTTTTATCCATGTGAGGTCAAAGTCATCATCTGCGATCACCCTGACTATACTATCAGAACATGCAATTTTTGTTCTTTTTACAAACTGTTCTTCCGAGTCTAAGGGACTAAACAATACTCATTCAATATCAAAAACTTGTGCATATTGTATTATATAAGTATATTCGATGCCAAACTCCAGTGTTTTACATTAAAAGTCACGTGCATGATTTGTGCAGTTTGCATAAAAGAATCGGGTCCTAGCCTTCGTGTCATGAGGTTTTTTTTGCGGCTCTTTTGTAAATGGCCATAATTTTCATGCCAAATGAGGGCTAGGCATTGTGACTGTTCAGAGTGCCTGTGTCAGGGTTGGCATACCTGCGGTCAGGGAGGAAGTACATTTTGACATAGGGGCTCCTGGGCCGCCCATCAGGCCGAAGAGAAAGCTCCACAGCCTGCAGCACGTTCACTATGAGCTGGTGACCCACTTTATCGTACCACAGCTTCACCTGGATGAGAAGCAAACAAAAACAAATCCGATGTCATGTCTTCACATTTAGCAAACTTGAAAGGTCCTCCACAGTTCAAGTGCCCACACTCACTGAGAGTCGCCCTGGCATTAACTGCGGAGCATCTCGGAGCATCCCGGGACTGGAGGGAGACAGGACATTTAAGGATGGTCTCTCCATCTTCTGGGACTCAAAAGAACTGGAACCTGCTATGAAGGCAGGGAAAGCAATATGTTTGAAATCCTGAGCAGGAAACGCCAGCTGTCTTTCAGAAGGGTGTCAGACTCAAAACATAATCTGCTCCGAAACCAAAACCAAAGGTGCGTTCATTACTGAAACACCAGACGCCTCAGAAAAGTTCACACAGAAACAGTTTAAAGAATAAGTCAGCTAACCTGTCAGGATGACAAATCACCACGCTTCTGTCCTAGTTAGAGTCCAGCAGGCTTCAGTGTTACTTGGGTCACGAAAGCCTTATATTCTACTACATGATCAAATGTCATCTAACTAACTGCCTACAAGGAAACCGATCTTCTCCCGCTAACATTCATCACAGATGTCAGATATCAGTTAGTTTCAGGGAAAAAAGAGTTGTCTAATTAGTCACTCCATGCAATATTAGAGGACATTATCAGCCACATGTTCAGAAAGGGAACAGAAAACTTCTAGTACTCATCAATCTCCACGTGTTTGAAGGGAACCGATTATGCTCATTTCAAACATGAGATTTTTATTCTTAGACTCTATTAGCAGGGCTGCACATAAGTGGTCCGCATGTGCGCATTAGCTGTCACAATAAAAGACGCGCACCAGATAAGAAGTTGCAACGTGCGTTTGCTTACATAAGATTTTCTGGAGGGGGACAGACATTTTTTAGAACGAAGATGTCGAAGAAGCTCCTTTAAGCAATTACTTTGGTGTTCCTCCACCTCCAAAGAAATGTCAGAAGGAGTCCGCAAAAGAAGCGCGTATTCTCTGAAAAGTGGTTGCAGGAGGTGAGCTGGCTTCAAACAAATGATGAACGCACAGAGATGTGGTGCACAATATGCCATGAAAATCCCACTCTAGCGGACAAAAACAGTGCTTTTTATATGTACGCAAAAGCGTGTTGCAACTTCTTATCTGGTGTGCGTCTTTTATTTTGACAGCGAATGTGCACCTGCGGACCACTTATGTGCACCCCTGTCTATTAGAATACCTTTGCATGATTTATTATTTGAAAAAAATCCTTATTTATGTCATATTGGGCTTTCTGGGCACCCCTTCATCATCGTTTGTCTTAGCCAGAGCCGTTTGTCTCAGATGATCATATTAGGACTATCTGCTCTTAGTGATGTCACACGGAGTCACAGATAGAAAAAAAAACCTGTAAAGCAGTCTGAATCCTGAGCTCTGCAATCAATTATACATACATTTACATCATTATTTGATACTCTGGCTATGCTTAAGATGAGTGTCTGTTTTAAAGAAACCACTCAACATTTTAAGGGCCAATATTTATCTTTCTTGCTGGGAGTTAGATGAGAATATAAATACCAGGAAGAAATCAGTTTAATTTAGCATAAGAAACAAGGCAGGAAAATTTCACCAATGAATGAGCTCTTAATTTAAACAACTCCAAAATAGACATAACTGGCAGAGCCACTAGTGGATGTCATCTATTTAACAAAGTATAATTTATCTATTAATTAGAAAAGAATAGGATGAAAAAAAAGCACATAGTGTACAAACGGCAAAGCAATATACCTCACCTTTACAACTCTACTAAAATACAGAAGGCAATATTTTTTTAACCTTTTTTTAACCATTTGTCTGACAGTACTGTAAGTTCAAAGTATTATTATGACGACTTTTACGCATAAAAAGCTACTTTCAGGTGCCCATTCGTCACAAAGGGTCACCACAGTGGGCAGCTGTGCATGTTTTAGCAGAATTTTACACTGGATGCTCTTTGTGACACAACCCCAAAGGGATCTGCGTCTCCAGCTAGAATCAAACCAATGACCTTTTGGTTGCCAAGTAAATTTGTAAACCATTACACTATTGAAAGGACATTTATGACATTTTTAATTAAGTGAATTTACTCATTATTTTTTCCACTAATGAAAACCACAAATTTTATTTTTTTACATTTTTGTGAACAGTTGAATAGTGTTTTTTAAAAAACCTTTGAGGTAGTTCTTTCAGTTTTTCTTGACTCAATCACACAAGACCTAATTCTTAGAAAGGACACAAATATTTCAAAATTTTGGACTATTCCTTTAATTTTATATGACATAATATGACATCCATAACATAAAGTATATTAGTACATCAACAAACTTATTTTTTGCTTTAATACGACATACATAGGTGACAAACAAACACAGAGCTGTCTCAACATGTCAGAGGAGATACCTACTAGATTCTAATGGAGGGTGGGACGTGTCGGGGATTCTTGGGATATCACTGAAAGAGAAACAGCAAAAACACATGAGTCACAGTTGTACTGGCACTGAAGTCAGACTAAGAATGTTAGATGTAAAAGTGACACACAGGCGTGCATGCATATTCAGACAGTAGTTACCACGCAGGGAGAAAGCAGCACTGTAAACAAAGGTTATTTGGATGTTGAGATTAAAGGATCATGTGGTTAAAAAAAATGGAGAAGCAAAGGGAGATGTGAGTAGAGCAAAGCTCTTCCCGTGACTGCAGTGTTTCCCAGACTCACTCAGTTCTGTTCGACCAATCACAACTGGAAATTATAATGGGTGAAAACCATTAGCTCATTAGCGTCTATCCACACCGCCATCTTTTCTTATCCATCACCACAACCCATGGGAAACACCAGAATCCACTGCACCAGCTCAATGTAATGTAAAGGAAAAGAAATGGTAATCTGTGTAACACTTATCAGTGTAATTTTCTTTTTCAGTTGAAATTTAAAGTGTGCTAATCTTGGACTCACATCAGGCATGTGATGGTTTTACACATGAAGAGGCAGTGTTTTAGAGTTTTACTTACCAAACAAACCAGTATTCAACAATCAAATCCCTAAAAAACATTCTTTTTGAGAGAAATATGGATACCACTCAAAGAGCTAGTGTCTGGACTTAAAGTTAATTAAGATAAACTAGCATAAAGTCTGGAAATAGCTAGGCTAGTCATCTCCTACCTTCAAGTTTGTACTTAATGTATAACTGTCAGACTGAAATTTTCTTATTTCTACTTCAAGTTGAAAGAAAACTGCTTCATTCAGTAAAATTTTTACTTGTAAATTCAAGTATTAAACTGATAAGTGTTTCATGGATCATAGGTTGCCTTGAAACACATTCCAAAATCAAAAATAGGAAACATGTATATGGAAAAAAAAATATTGCTTGCTTTATGAAACCCAACTTCAGTAATTCAGAATTAAGGTACCAGGGATACTGTGTGCTGGATTTTACTAATAGACTGTATATAAAAGACAGACGTAGCCATCACACCATCCGGTTTTTAAGTGATGACCTGATGAATCCTGCTTCCAAGCCCAAACTACTGCGTTTAATAAGGCTGTTGTGTATTTAACATGTTTTAATGCTTTGTATCTTGTTCTATTTAATCTCAACAAGCCTCCCAAAACAGTCAGTGATCACTGTCGGCCTCTCTCGGTTTTTATTACTGCTATTCATTTTAAAGCTCCGTTTTTAAAACTATAGCTAGCCCATGCAGCAGTATATTAATGACTAACCTCGTGTTGTGGGTCCTGCCATCCTGCCATGCGATTGCATTTGTTCGGAACCATCGGGAACCCTCACGTTAACTTTTATCGAGTGGAAAATATTTAGCGTTCATCCTCCAGCTTCACTGTTTTAATTATGCTAACATAGCTGTGTCGCTAGCGATCACGTAGCACATCATTATACAGCAGCTAGCCAAGCTTCAGTAACCCTACAAACTTTGTTAAATTTCATAAATTCGGTTTTCATGGATACCTGAATGTAAACTTAACTGTTACACCTGGTAGAGCAGCCACACTGATCATTTTATTACAGATGAAAGAATTTAGAGAGTTTTTAACTCTCAGTGACGCTGCAGTGATCGTGTGACTTAGGGACCTGCAGCGGAGTTTAGGCCCAGGCACGGCTAATGACGTCAGACTTAAAGACCAGATTGGCCAGTGCTTTGAAAAATCCTGTTCTTCCAAGTCCTGAGGATGTTGTCATCTTCAATTTTTAAAAACAGAAGTCGCAGCTGCGTAGTCATTCTAACTTGTCAAATTCTAACTTGTCAATCACAAGACAGGCTATCTGACATGCCATTCTTATCGTCCTTTTTTGACTCCAAGTGGGACCAAAATTTAACAAAAAACTCATCATATTGCATTCTATAACAACTGACACTAGAGCCTGAGTCCATAAACCCATCAGGAAAGTGTGGGCATAGAACAAATGAGCAGCGAGGCCATTTTCTCAAAGACTTCAATACAATAAGACTTTTGAAAGCCAAAGGAGTCGCCCTCTTGTGGCCATTTAAAAAAAATGCAAGTTTACTTGCTTGCTGGGACCATTTTTTATATACAGTCTATGAATTTACTCAAGGGTAAGACTTAATCAGGAGTTTAAAAAAATAGGAATTCCAGATGCTGCACAAACAGCTTAAAAGCTTGCGAAAACACTGATACATTGATGATGTTTTCCGCTGGCCATTTTGCATCCCAACAGGTAAACCTGCAGTTTAATTCAGCACACAGTGCAGCTACTTTCATAAAACCGTATAGTGACATCAATTAGATTTCTCACTTAACAGTATTACAGTTAGTTCCTTTAGGGATGCAAAATGGCACCAGCAAAACCAAAATAGTTTCCATAAGCGTGGCAGAATTAAAAGGTCCTAAAAAAAAAAAAAAGATTACTTACTGATATTTTCTATACACCCTTCGTGAGTGTTTGGAGAGAAATTCATATATTCAACTTTTTTTTCCATCAATAAGCAGAAAAGTAAAATTTGAGAGCTGCACCAGTGGGTACTTTACTTTTAAAATAACCCACTGGATTGACCTTGTTACACACAACAACAAAACGTATTCAAAATACCTGAAACCAGCTTGCACCCTGGTTTGTGTGACGTTTTTGGAATGACAGCTCTTGAACAATAATAGAAAATGAGAGGGTGACACCTCAAAGTCCCTCTCTTTGAATTAAATTTTTCCAAAGCTTTGCTAATGTCAGCAATGTAAGAGTTAGCAAGTCTGCTAAACATAAGGCAAAGTTAGTGTACCAGAAAGCATCCAATTCAAAGTATCTCGAGGAAAATGAACTTTACTGATGACTTTTGATACTAATGATTTGAAATGATACACTTAGAGTTAAAAATAAATTTTACTCAGGGCGTCTACTGCCTTCAGAAGTATGTTCATGACTGTGCTTGTTGAGCTTTGCAATCCATCGACTAAAAACTTCACATGCAGCTTCTCCTATCTTTAATGGAGCTTACAGACAGTTTTATTTGGTCAATAATAATTCAGCTTTTACCATCCAACAAATAAAAGCAAGTGCTTTTTTAAAGGGGACATATGAGACATGGCTATCTCCCAGTCCAAAACTTGGCAGCTGCAGGCAATGGCTAGTTGTTTTTAATACGTTGAATGCAGCTGTGCATCATAACCTCCTGCTTTGTCTGAGGTCAACTCTGAGTCCAAATAAATGTTGCCTAATTAAATAAGGGTTTAAATTTACAAATAGGCTAGTACCTGACAAACCAGGTAAAAACATATGACTCTGACAGTATACTGGACGTGTTTCATGCCTGACTTACCCAATAGGCCTGGATACCACCAACTCCACTTGAGGGTCAGCTTGAGACTCCAAGATGATGTTGTAAACCTCCTTCATAGTTGCTCCCGGTAACAGCTTCCCGTTCCACTGCAAAACCTCGTCACCTGAAATCAGATGTCCACATTGTCATAACTAGCTCAAAAGCCATGACAAAGTAAGGGCTGTTGACAGGATTAATACAAATAAACTTTTTATTTGAAATTAACAAAACTAAATAAAGTTATCAAAGGACAAAAAAACATGACATATGTCAGTAAATGAGTCAGGAATATTGGCATGTTTGAACGTGTGTTAATGTAGTAAGTGAAACATTGTTTGGGAAAAGAAGAGCACAAAAGTCTGCAGCAATAATAGCTTAGGTGCAAAGTTATTCTTCCCCCTGAGGTAACAAGTGGAGCATGCGTTTATACAGGGGAACACTGGACCTAGGTGTTCCCAATCCATCATCACCCAACCACACCCCACTGGACACCTGCAACACAAAACACAAAGACAAATACAACCTCCCAGCCCACGAGCCAAAAGAGACAGTGTCGCCAACTGGCAATCTACACCACCACAGCCTACATACTACCTTAACCTTAGCAGCATGATCCCACATAAGAACATCTGTCAATACGTGTGACCATGTCCACTTCCACATTTTTAGATCTCTTGATTAGCCTACACTGAACTACAAGTTCAGAGACCACGCGTCGTATACCACAAATATATAGCATGTGCCTTCCTCAGACTGGTAAGGGAAGTGACATCTTCCAGTAAAAGTTCCAGCAGAAACTATGGTAATATCCGACCATGCCTAAGAAAGACATCAGCTCTTTTTTTTCTTTTGTTCTCTGGCCAGCGCCTTCCCTTGGCACCCCTCGTTGTGGCCACAGCTGACATCGGCCAACAACATGCCCGTTGTAGATTACTAATGGATAGCAAATTCACATTTAGCCAAGTCAGTGTTCAGTCGGACTGCAGACAGACATTTAAATAAGGAACAAATACACAACATATGAATGCCACAAATGTCATTCTACACAACCACATCATCCAGACAGACAGTGTAGCATTCCAGATTTTTAATCAATAGGACCAGTATCACTCGAACAGATAAACTTTACTCATAAACTTTGCAGATCAAACTTCATCAATACAGTCATCCAATCATGGAAGGGGAAATGCAACAGGTTTAGTGATACTGACCTCGCCAAGAGTCTAAACAAAACCTGAGAGTGTTGTCACATAATGGGACAAGAAAACAAGGGAGCTAGAAGCTAGCCAGCTAGAAGATGATGGGTCGATGATGTTGTTTTAAAGTATGAACCTGACTTCTGCATCAAAGTACTTACACTTGTCAGCTGACACCTGGTAAAAGTGCTGCTTAATGGGGAATATCAATAATCATATGAATCATCAAAGTGATATGGTGAGTTTGTGAACGTGTGTCAGCAAATAAACGTTTGGAATTTTTCCAGCTCGTCACACAGAAACTCTTTTAGGTGAACTAACAAATTATTCACATTTCTGAGAGTTATGGTGCTTTAAATCAACCACATGCCTAATTCCCAGTACCAACCTTTTCCCTTTCTGTTACTACTAGTGACTGGGTAACCACAAAAGGGTGGTTTCAACAGACAGAGCTGTGTTTTCTTAAGAAACTCTGGTGTAGAAATTAAACAACTCTTTCGTGAGATCTGCTTCACCACTATGGAAGGACCTGGCCTGAAAGAGGCATCCAACAACAGGCAGCACTTGATCATCAGGACTGAACTGGCACCACTCAGCCTGCTTCGTAAATGAGCTTCATCATTCCTTGCGATGCAGCCAACTTCTATTTTGCCAGCTACCTTCGAATGTATAAACGATGCTGGAAGTCATTCACATAGTCAGTTTAGTTTTTTTGGAACATTGTCATCCTTAACCCTCAACAAACCCTCAACACCGTATACAGAACAGGCAAACACCATGTCATTGGGGCTAAAGCCAGTTGTCACTTGTGAAACTTCTCTGGCTGTCAACATGAAGCATTGAAAAACCCTTCTCCCAAAATCTGCCTAAGAACAGTGACTTTACAACCCTGACTTTGACCTGTCCAGGGTGTACCCTTCCTCTCGCCCTAAGACAGCTGGGATAGGCTGACCCTGACCCTAACAAGGATAAACACAAAAGCCCTGACTTTGTGCTGATAGGCTGATGACTGGAAGTGCTGCACCTGAACTTGTTTTAACCACTGGGCAAACTTGGGAGGTAAAAATTAGAAGCCTGATCATTTTTAGATCACTTTAGGGATTTCAAAGATAGAAATTAATTGTCAGCACGCTTTCACTACAGACCTGGTTGTTACCAGTTGTTAAGGATATGCAACTGGGTGATATGACACATGACAATAAAAAGATATTTTAGCTCCAACTTGGAAGGAAGCAAAGGACCCACAAGTTAAGGAGCATATGCTCAAAAGGTTCTTCTGAAAAGGATATTGGGTATTCTGTCATGAAAATAAAACCATCCGGTGTAAACGGTAAATAAGCACCATCACAGGGAAGTACTTCACATAAGGAACACAAGTGGAGTGTAGCTTGATGTGTTTCAACACAAGGTATCTCAAATGAAACAGCTAGTCTAGCAGACACATTTACTTGTCTTTTTTTCTTCAGAGCTTAACATATGCCTTCATATGCCCTTTTTCCTGACAGAACGTTTTGAAGTGTTCTTCCAAAACAACAAGACTCAAAAACTCTTAAAGAGATTTTATCTCTGAAGCTGCACAACAAAGGTTGATATTATTCAACAAATCAAGCAAAAACTCCAGGTAGTGCCGCTTATAACCTTTCCTATCATTCCTAAACTCCTCACGATAGGAACCATCCCAAAACAGCTGCTTTCACTAACTCAGTGAGTTGACGTTGATGCAAGGAGGTTTAATGACTACATTTAGCTTCCCAGTTACTTGCCATGAGGTGTAAGTTCTAATATATTCCAATATATTCCATAGCCAAGTGACTTGCTCCTAATCACTGCCACACAACTCCCTTCGAGGTTTTACCTGTGAATGCATGCCCAAGGCTGATATTATTTAACACATCACATGGAAACTGCAGGTAGGGCTGCTTATTCTCTTTCCTACCATTTCTAAACTGGTCACAGCAGCCTCAGAAATGGTAGGAAAGCTAGGTATAGCCAAAAAGGAGCATCCCTTCTAACTGCCTAAACAACACCTAACTAACTCAGGCATAGTCTTCAAATTGAAAAGGATAGAACAAGGAAATAACTAGCATCTGGCAACACACCCATGAAATGCACCCAAGACAAAAAGTTAAACTGCATTCAACCTGACTCACAACCTAGCAAGAAACACAACCTAAGGAACAGTGCTGCTATGCCTTACAGGAGAAAAACTACAATTTAAATTGTTACACATCAACATGTCAACACTTATGTTTCTTTGGTCAGGCAAAACCATGACTGTTCCAAACAACATAAATTTTTCTCACCCTTAATCAATCAGGTGGAAGGACAAACCCGGAAACGCCAGCTAATTGGGGAATTATCAAAGACCAAGGCCCAACTTGTTAAGACTAGTTCAAAACCCATGATAATTAATGGGTTACACCATTAGTCAAGTAAATGAATAGAATTGTTCTTTTTGCAAAACTACATAAAGTAACCAAAGGGGGAAAAAATGGTATATGTCAATCAGTGAGTCAGTGATAGCATATTTTGTGCTAGCGTGGTGTGTGAAATATTATTTAGGTAGAACAGCTAATTTTGGCTGGTCCCCCAAGGAGTTGCCACAATGGGTAGCTTTGCATGTTTTTTTTTTTTTACACTGGATGCCCTTCCTGACACAACCCACAAAGGGATTTATGACTAAATCAAACTAGGAAACTTTTGCCTGTTAGCCAAATGTGTAAACCACTACACTAGAAAAGCAAAAAGGTCTGCATCATATGGAGTTAAGGATCACAGGAACACTGAGCCTGGGTGTTCCCAATCACTGATGACACAACTACACCACACCAAGCACCTGCAACACAAAACAAAAAGATACTAGCTCTTCTAATCATACTAGCGAAAAAGAAAAGACAACCTGCAGCATGCAGCAGCTGAATAGACGAGGTCGTCAGAACGTACAGAGCATCAGAAGTTGTTATGATAAGAACAACTACATTTTCACTTTGTTAGGCAAGATAAGTGTCAGGGTATCAGGTAAAAAAAACATTTTTCTTATATCATCTATTGCAAGACATACAATACGACTCTCTATGTGACAAAGCTTATTAAACAATAGTAGTTAGGACATTTTGATGTTTATAAAGACCTTACATTTGACTGATTATTACTTCCCAGCATTTGTGAGAGGCTACTGTGGCAATTTAGTGGATACCTGCTCTCAGATGTCCCACCACATCAGCTAGGCTTCCCTTCTTAACCTTGGTGATGAAGGCTCCTAATCTCCCTGACTCTGTTACTCTGCCTCCCACCACCTGAAGAGAAGCGGACAGCGACAGTTAGTGAGAAATATCTGACAAGTGGACAACACAGGATGGCTCAGTTAGAATTAATAGACAGAAAAATCATTTAAGAAACTGTTTGCATGTCTGTGTGACCTCTGACCTTTAACCCCAGTAAAGCGCCAGCTTCTTTAGGCATGGCAGCAGTTCTCTTGCTGAGGGTGATCCGTCCAATCAGATGGTCTCCCTCCTTGGATGGCTGCCAGGTTACAGGATGCTGCAGCAGGACACAGGAAATGGTAATAAAAATGAGCAAAGTGACACTCAGACACATATTTACTTCATATATACTTTGACAAAAAACTTTGAAAACTATCAATAATTCTAACTGATTACAGAGGTAGATTTAAAAGACATAAGATCTGGCTTTTCAATTCAAATTTTAAGTGCACAAAAGTCTTGTTTCCTAAAAGTTGTTTCTAAGAGAAAAGTGGATACTACTCATAGAGCTAGGGTCTGAATGGTAAGCTTAACTAAGATAATTACCTCCTAGCTTCAACTCAGTACTTACTGTAAAACTGTGAGACTGAAATCACTTTTTCATTTTCATTTTTAAAAACTTTGATTACCAATTTTTATTCTGGATTCATGTACTACACTGATAAGTGTTTAATGGACAAGGCTTGAAGGCCACTCCAAAACCCAAAACAGGAAGCATGTATATGGAATAAAAAAAAATAGGTTTTGCCTTATTTTTGTAACAGGCTGATTTTCTGTCTATACTGTAGCTGTAAAAGATGCAAGCTCTGATAAATCAGGATTTCTTTTGGATTTTTATCTTACTGAATGGACTTCTACTGGCCACAATACACAGACTGCATTTAGCTCTGCTCTAAGAAGCCTCGATACAGCAGGACTGACTCATTGCAGTGCAGCTATAAAGATAATGAGTGTAACTCTCCCACAGGTACAAGAAGAAATTATACTACACTTAATGTTTTAATAATTTTAGGTACCATAACAAGAGCTGTAAGCCCATATTGGACTATTTAAAACTTCATAAATTATTTATCACTCTCAGTTAGCTGCCACACAGTCCAGATCAGACAGCTGAGCTGAGTGTATTAATTCAAATAATTCAAAGTCAGTATCTGCCTTTGTAATTATAGCATCATTGTTTTGGCATGGATATTTACCATATATAACATGACCTCTCTAGACTCAGCACACAGTGATTGATTTTGACCAAGTCAATGGTCACCACCACGGTCTTAACACAACATAAACATACTATCCATGTACTTCACAACAATAAAGTAACCATAGTCAATAACCATAAGACATCATGTGTTTTACATTAATAGATTCTTCAGAAAAATTGAAAAAACAAACTTTGTGGTAAGACATACAACCAACGATGCTAAATGAGGACAGGAGGATCAGACTGTAAAGAGACAAACACTCCATTTGGCACTATTTGGTACTCCAGTACATCCACATAAATGTTTACACACTTGGGACTTTAATTAAAATACAACAATAACACCTGAACAACTTCATTCTGATTCTCAAAACTATCTTTAATGTATGAAAAAATATTAATCAGAAGGAAAAACACTGACTTACATGCCACACAGTGGGGTCATGTGGGTAGCATTCCCAGTCGCCTGCAAGAGAAAAGAGATCAGATCAGCTGGATAGATGTGGAAGTCGCAGAGGAAACAATGACCTCCCTTATATCTCCTTCTTCTTCTTCGCACACACACACACACACACACACACACACACACACACACACTGTATACACACACACACTGTATACACAGCACATACCAGGAGTCCTCACACACACAGCTCAGCCAAATTTGGGGGCTCTTCAGGAGGTACTTGTTTACAATGGGGAGGCTTAAGTTTATTGAAAATTCAAGAGTGGGCTGGAATTAGAAATGTATCACCACGGCAGCAGGTGGCCTAAAAAGTTTTCCACTGAGGCAGCGATGACACCAGCGGATGGTTAAGCCTTTTAAAACGCTTTAAATCCATCCAAGACACTTCAGAGATTAGGTGTTATTGATCTCCTCCAGGGGTAATGCAACAATGTAAGGCGAAATACAAGCACAAAAGCGTGTCAATAACAGATATTTTCTCACATTATTTAGGTATCGGGCATAGGTTGAGCCAATGAAACAAATATAGATATGTGGTAATAAATTATATGTGTTAATAAATATGTTTTGATAACCACAAAATTGATTTGCTTATTAAGTGATAATAATACTAACGATCAGTTTTAAAGCTGCTATACATCATAAAAGTTAATACTGTTAAATTCTAAATCACAAAATAATTTCCAGAAAGTTCTATTCTTTTAACATGGAGCATTTATTGACCGTTCTGACAAAATTATAAAAATTAAATATTATTTGCACTTTTTCTACATTCAAAAATTTTTGCAGTTTATTGCTTAAAAATGCAATTTACTTTTTTTTCTGGGGCGTCCAACCGGTCGCAGCAGATGAACCACCCTTGCGTGCACCTGGTTCTGCTGGAGGTTTCTTCCTGTTAAAGGGGAGTTTTTCCTTCCCGCTGTTCATAGGCGGTCATACGATTGTTGGTCTGTTCTCTGTTGTCTTTATATGATTGTAGGTCTATGCCTTAGAACATGTTGCTATGATTTGGTGCTGTATAATAAAAACTGAAGTGAACTGATGTAGTCTTAAAAACTCTCAAAACCTGTATGCATCAAACATGATACATGAGACATTGAGGGTTAAATGCAAAGATATCGTTATGAAACTTGAGAAAAATGAGCTAAATAAATGCTAAAATTAAAGCTATTTAAATATTCATTGAAGTGCTTTTCAAAAGTATACAGTGCAAGAAACTGAGCACAAAAGTAAGAATAAAGTTATTAAAATGAGTAATTAATGATTAATGTTTTCTTTGTGTCTTTACAATGTAAATTGCAAAATCATTTAAAACTGAAATGTTATTTCAAATTAATAAGCACAGACTTTAAAGGTCATTTTTTGTAAATAAATTTATAAATCTTCCAAAACAAACCTAAGGCATCAACAGGTTTTAGAAAAATAACCGATGTAGCTTTATGCTCAAAAAAATCTATATATTTTGTTGAAGAGATATCAGCTGAAATCAAACTAGGCTCTGCCATACTTTTATCTATACCACAAGTAGACGTAGCACGTCAGTGTCACCTTTGTTTACGCAGGCAAGTCATTTACATATTCAGATTTACAGTGGTAGCTTCCTAAGGTAAAGCCTCTTTAAGAAAAGGGCTAAAAATAAATATCAGGAAAGGCAGCTGGGTTTTTCTTATACTTTGTGGATAATAATTACAAAAGTAACTTTGAACCAAAAATCAGCGAGTGAGTAGGTTAAAAAGGAATTTTATAGCACTTTTCACAGATAAAAAGCCATAAAGTGCTTCACAATAAAACACAAGAAATAAAAGCAAAACATATCATAACAATTTAAAGCCACAGAATAAAACATAGGCTGTATAAACATGGGCTCAGCCGCTTTGTGATGGAGTTAATGGAGGCTATACAATGTAAAGACAGTGGAAGAGAATTCCACAACCTCGGTGCCACTGCCTGAAATGCCCAATCTCCTTTTCTATTAATTAATTATTAATTTATTCCTAAGACTGTGTTTAGCTCTAGCTCGTGATGTAGACCAAAATCCAAAGCCTGTACACACGGGCTGCAGGGCAGTGCTGCACAGTGCGCAGGACCTCGACGACACTGTTATGACACAGAGTAAAACAGAGCTGAGCATTCCTAGGAGCCAGGGAAGCTATGAGGTTAATGGCTTGGGACAACTTATAGTGATATTACGTAATCTTAAAGCAAATGCTCAACCCAGTTCTTAGTTTCATAATTTGAGCGTGAACATAGATTCATGCAGTGGGTGAGCCACATGGCTGCGAGTGTGTATTGTTTTTGTGTTTCGGCACTTTTAATGGCAACAAAGAAAGAGAAAACTCCACTACGGGCTCAGGACACGGTTTTGAACACAACTTGGAATGGGACATTAACAACAAATAATATTTTTCACGTTTCCTAAAACAGAGACAGTGTGAAATAAGCCCTTTAAAAATACACCTTTACGATCCTAATAATAGAATTTTTACAGAAACCCATCAATGTTTCATGGCCTACAAGGAGCCTTTGTGGAGGGTGAATCCACACATAAGGTTTGTCCATGAAATTAACAGGCAAATAGTTACCGTGTGTTAATTTTATGACATTTCTGGTGATTTTACTTTGACTGTGGCTAAAAATTCTTTGCTTATGCAGGAAGAGCCTTGGCCACATGGCCTAAATAAAATGTATTCTTTATAAAGAAGAACCTGCACTTTGACCAAAACCACGGGAACCGAATTTATCCAGTCACAGCTCAACAAGACTTTGGCATTTTGTTTTTACAGTGTTCTTACAACCAAACAAAGAGGAGCAAAAGCATTTGGAATGGACTGTCAAATAAAAGCTGCAAGTGTTACCATGCACGGCTAACTAGCTTACTATCTCTAATAGAGCATGAATTGGTCCAGGATCAGTATTACAACTCAGCAATTACATTTTCTGAGCATTCAGCTAGCAGGAGTCAAGAAGTTAGCCAATTCTTTTTAACTATCACAGGCAAACCAACATGAGTACCCTAAATTTGCCTAAAACAGCAAACCTAACTTAATAACATATTTATTATGTTGCATAAATTAATACAGAAAACACTTGCAATGCTTACCATTTATTCCAGAAGAAGTTTTACATAACCATAGACTTTTTTTTATTGCGATGCTATAACATCACAGCAACATGATTGGTCAGTTGTAATGCTGATCATGGACAAACGTTATTACGAAAATACAAGAACAACACCAACACAGGGATACAGATACACCCTCTAGTAGTACTGTAAGTTATAATTACTTTTTTACATTTATCCATAGTAAAGATTAGAGATTGCCTTGCTTTTGAAGAGAGACCCAGATGGTCACTTGAGGACTCGAAACAATAAGTTCAGTTGGAGCAGCCTCTCTCTGTCTCTCGCTAGCAAAGTTGACCCAGACAACAAAGTAAAGCTAGTTTTCGGCTATGAGCCCGACACAGAATCCGATGTATTAGTCAGAAGTCCCTTTACTACGGTTCAGAGCTGCGGACCTGTTTTATATACGCGCGGAATAGTTTCCTATACGAGATTGCTGCAAAAAGTGCAGCCTTACCTAATGTCCACCCGACTGTTACTCATTTTATATTAAGATTTAAAAATCTAGTTGGTATTGGTATGGCGAGTAACCTTAATAGTAATAAATCACACAGAAATAGTACATTCATGTAGTTGTAAAAAGCATGACAATATATTAAGTAGTCCAAAGTATTCAGAATACGTTACTCTAACGTATTCTGAATACATAACATGGAAATACCCTACACTGTACGAGTACCATCTATTGTTTATGACTGTTTATGTCAAGTAACAACTACTTGACATTACTTACCCTATCACTCAAAAGTCAGTAAAAATCAAACAAGTACCAATGTTGTGCATTTATCAGTACCTGTTAAAGGTTATTAAACACAGAAAGATAAAAGAAATTCTCTTACATTTAACAATATGTAGTAATTTCAACTAATCCGTGATCATGTGGTTAAAAAATATTTTTTTTACTTCTGGCTGCCTCGGAACTGAAGCTAATTTTAGCTCTACACTTCAGTAACTCCATTTAACTTTAACGACAAAGAGACAAAACTCCTTTCAATTTTGTAGCCCTAAAAGGCTACTGTTTAAACAGATTACCTTTTCAAAAACACAAATACGTATCTATGCTAAACAGGTTATGCTAGAACATGACTTTACTTGTTTATCTTAGCCTACATCTTACACACGGCTAGCTAGCTCTACAGCAAAGGGGCTGTTTGTTTATTTCTGTCTGGTGCCTGGTACAAGGAGACTACATGCAGACATTGAGTACATAAAGGACCTTTTCACAAGGTTCACGTTTATAACAAGACTAGTGGAACACCAGCACACAGAGTAACTATTAGTTAGCTTTTAACTGTAGCTGATAAAACCTGCCAGCATCAGTTATTTTATCTGGCAAACTCGACTATAATCAATAAGTCTGCCTTTATTTACATCTCTATAAAATCCAAGTAAAACCAATTAATCTAAAATGCAATAAATTAAATACTGCCTGACAGAATTCTCAAGTGTTTGTATCATGTTTCCCTTTCTTCCATTGAGAGTGTGAGTTGGTAGCGCATGTTTGTATGTAGGACAATACTTGCACAGATCTACTGTGCCCCGAATTTACAATGATTTACATGCCTGGATGCTCCTTAGCTGCCAGCAACCACATCTTGGCGCTGACCTGGTCTGAGTCTCGAGCTAAAAAAGGAAGCAGCGAATTGCTGCCACACCAATGTGTTTAAAACCTGGCCTGACAGCACACTCTCATCCTAAACCTCCACATGATGGATGTCACAGCGGCTGCTGTGGGTCCAGGCTGGCACTCCACAGAATGCTCCACACTTTTGTTGGTTTCCAGTGAAAATAAAATTTAATGTAGCATGAGAATACAATCAGTGTGATTATTGGGTTCTGTTAATTATTATTAGATTAGATGAGGGAAAGAGAGGTGAACTCTAAGAGTCATGAGTGATCTTTAAAGGCCCAAAAACCTTTTTAGAAAATCCATGTATCCTTACGTTATCACTTAGCTGAATGACATTACTTAAGCTTGCTGTTACAGCACATGTCTCAAAGGGTCAAACTGCTATCTAACTGCTATTTATGACTAGCTACTAACTACCTAAGGACCCAACTCTCATCACCAGCTACGATCCTCTGGACTAAAATTCAGGTAAGTTTGTGAGAGGAGTTTGTTCTCTACGCAAATTTCTTGATCCATTTTGAAATGACAGGGCCCACAGGACAAGTGGCAAGAATGGGACGCCCAGGAAGTGATAGAAAAACAGCAGATCTGAAATATGAGACTGGTCATATTTAACTCAAGCAATGCTTTTATAGCACTGGTTACAAGCTGCTAAACAGTGAAAAATATGACTTCCTTCCAGCTGTGTATATTTATTTATGGCTTGTATTATTTTTAACACAGTCGGATACATAGCAGCCAGTCTAAATGCCTTGGAATGGTTAGTAGTGAAGTGACATAACCCAGCTTGGACATGACAAGGTTAGAGTGTAAACAGTTGTGTGTGCTCAGGCTTGGGGACATAGTTGGCTATGCAAAGCCACAGAAGGTCAAGCCTGGGATTAACTGGGGTCAAACTGCCCCATCACAAACACACTACACGCACACACGTACATGTGTGCTCAGTGTGGGATTGTCCTCCCTCAGGGCCAAGCTGAAAACAATACAACATGACACACAGGAAAACGTTCAGATACACACACTTGTTAACGTGCATGGCAGTTTATTGGGTAGCTGCTCATTTTGACAACCCGGACTGCCGGCTACAGCCTGCTGCATGCAAGAATATCGCAGGACGTGCCACGTTTCTGCAGGCGCAGCCAGACCACGTCTCTCAAATGTTGCCTTTGCAAAGCTTGTTCTCAAGCCATTTGGTGTGTAACACATGAGGTTTTAGCGCTTCACTAAGCATTATAAAAAAAACCTGATAAACGAGCAGTGCTTCTCCAAATCAGGAGGTTACATCAGAGTCGCCTCACCTGTGATCAGCGAGCACACGGTGTTAAAGAAGCGAAACGTTTGTAGACTCGCAGACTGACACAGTGCAAGTGAGGATCACAGATGGAAGCCGAACAACTGTCTGCACTTCTTAAATTCATTTCCCATAATATACTGGTCAGATGGGAGCGTTCAAACATACACACTGCAAGTGCAGCACCAATACAATAAAATGCATGATGTGAAATAAATTCTGTTAGTGAGGTGGGGATTTTTATGTGCCTGATGCTAAAGACCCACACAGTCTAGTGGGTGCCCTGGAGACTGGAATATAATAAAAAATAATATAACATTAACACAATGTCCTCCAGGGATTCCACTCTGGGTTGTCCATCGGGATCTAGTTTTTTTTTTTTTTTTAAGTAATTGCTTCACATGTTACTTAGTATAGCTACAGTCCAGCAGTAAACTCTTTACAAGTGAGAAAGCACTAAATGAAGGTTTATGTTCATTCCACATATTCTAACCGATGGTAATCCAAAATCAGTGGATGAATGTGAGCTAAGAAAGTAAAAGAATATAGGAATAAGAATAAGTTGTAATCTTTATGTGGTAGTCTTTAGAGGTCTTTATGGACTTTCCAGCTGATTTTATATATGTAAAACATAATAATAACAGCAGGCTAATAAAATACATGCGCTAGCTCAAAGCTTTTGTATTAAAGGAAAAATCACCGGTCCTTAAGTTGGCAGGCCGTCAGGCTTATAATACACACTTTTATTGTGAAAGGCAATTTTTAAAAAGCTGGATTTTTTTAAATAATTGAAAATGAATGATCATCTTATTTTATTTATTTGATCTTAACTTACATCTTACTTACTAAAATGTTTTATTATTTTGCATGACTATAAATTTCCATCCTTTATATTATATTGTCTTCCTGGTTGATGATAGTTCACAGCAAAAAAACACATTAAAACAGAGATTTTGGTTTTAAAATCTAAATCAAAAATGTTGTCGAAGAACAAGGCTAATGTACCGCTCTGACTTAAGATGCCATAAACAAAGGGTAGGGTGGATCATTTCCTCATCTTCTGTCAAAATAAATATCTCGTGTAATTGAATGGACGGATAAACAAACAAATGACCAGACAGATATCAATATATGCCACAGTTTCAGTTTCTTCATGAACAGAAGGTAATGATGGATATTCTCTCACCTCTCTCGCTGACACTTTCAATCTCTGCATCCTCACAGCTGCTGTACTCAGGCGTGGTCCCGCCCTCCTCCTCCGAACTACTGACGCTCGTTTGTCTCTTCCCTCCGGCCCCCTGCCCTCGTTTTGACTTGTAGGGCCGCGGCGGTGGCGGACGCAGAGATTCCGATTGATCAGAGCTTAGCGAATCGTTGCGCAGCATGCTCTCAGCTTTGTCCCGTTTGGTCCGTTTCACTGAGGGTCCCTGGCCCGGGGCTGAGCCAGGACCTGAATCGGGAGGTTCTCTGAGTTCAGGGGGAGGGGCTTGCTGTGAAAGAGCATGTTCATGCAGCCCGCCTACCCCACCCGCCGTCCTCTGTCCAGGTCGGGCACCGTCCCCGACCTCACCTCCCCCTGCGCCTGTGCCTCGACCCTGCCCGGGCACAGGATGGCCCCTGCCCCCAGGAGGGACGGGCCCTGCTTGTCGAGGGGGCGCACCGGTGTGGTCCATGTGATGGTAATCCCCCTCTTCTGTCCGTCTTACTCCAACACCTCCCACAGGATCGTGCTCCAGAGATCGTCCCTTTGTCAGGCGCCGACTTTCCCTGCGTTCCCTAGACTCCCCCCTGAGGTCCCGGTCCATGGAGACTTGGGTCTTCAGCCTGGGCTGGCCTTGCCGCCGCTCTCCCCGACCAGCTCCTCCACCCCGTCCATTCCTCCTGGGGAGGGAAAGTATACAGATGAGGGGTGATGTCAGACAAGATACTGGTTTGGTTAGAGAACTGTTCAGCAGGAAGCTTACAACGGCAACGTGTTAGTGACAATGTTACACAGGTTAATGCAAACTGAATCATCTCATTGTTTTAGCCTTCACTGCCAATAATAATTAACCTGTAAATCAGTATCTGTCACTCGGGGTGTCACAGGGCATTACATCATCACTTAACAAGTCGGCGATGTTTTGTCAGACAATCTGAAATTCTGAAGTTTTCTGTTCCCATTGAGTTAACAATAAATCATCACATGTGCGCGTAAGAAGGCTCTTCAATGAGTAGTTATACGATTCATTTGGCGGAAAGTGAGTCACAAACCGAGCATCACAGACAGCTGTGACGGCACGTGGAGGGTGGAAGACTTTGGTTAATGTATGTGGCTGCTTTTAGCTTCTGCTTATACAATGTATCCACTTAAGCCATGTGTGACAAATGCCACTGGTGTGATTTGCATCTGTTACCATTTCATTGTTAACATTAGTGTCCACTAATAGAATGTCACAAGTGAAAACTCCTTCTACTATTAAGTGTGCTGGAAGTAGCCTCATTCTTCCATTACAATGAATGGCATAGGAAACAATGCTAAGAGGCATAATCCATCATTGTATAATGGAAGCAAATGAGGAATGTGGGAGATGGTGCTCAATAACACAAGCATTAGGACTGCTTTCAAAGACAACACAAGATAAAATGGGCACTTTTTAACAATTTTACACATTTCACTTGCTCTTGATGAGGTTTATGAAGTTTAATTATCTGGTGAATCCAGGAATTGATGGCTACCAGTACATTGTGGTTCTTTTGAAAAACGTGGCTCTTGAAGAGGAGCATCTCAAGAAAAGCAGTATTAATCAGTGAACCCCACAAATCCCAAATTATGGAACAAGTGGAGGTCAGAACTATTAGAGTAAAAAATCAAGATATCTTTGGCTCTGTCTTTTAAAAAATGTATTGTATGTATGTATTGCTAGTTCTTCAGCTATACATAAAGGGAGTGCTGAAATGCCATTAGTGCAATAAATACAAAGCAAACATTTGGACATCGAATAGCCATTGGCTGGCCGTCCTTTCCACACATCTGATGTGGGATTTATGGTTGTGTGATGATGTCTGTTTGCAGACATGCGCTTATGTGCAGTGCTCTTGGAAGCCAGGAGTGTGATGGTGATGACAATATAAATAGGTCAGAGACTGACTGGTGGAGAACGGAAAAGGATCAACAGCAGAGTTCACCATGAAGAAGAAGAAAACAAATGAAAAAGTTATAAGAAATATAGAGAATGACTGCCATGGACACTTTAGATGATTCTTCTTTGCATAATATGACTCCCGTCTTCTCCACTCCACTCTGCCCCCTAGTGACAACTCTAAGATCTAGTTGAGGATCTGCAAAGCTCCATGAAGGCGTAATACGTTATGTAACATTAACACGTCTCTGCTAAATTTCAGACAGGTACGCACATGTAGCTATATGAACATGTTATTTTTAAATTGATTTTTTTTTTTCAGTACAGGTATCTGATCACATGTCTTCTTAACCAAAAAGGCTGTAAATCAATTGGGTTTTATATTTTTTAAAGAAAACAAAAATACATGTTTTTTCTGTTTATTGCAATGATATGAGAAATATTCCAGGTGTTAGAGGAGGATTTGAGTGGACCCACTGCTGTTCATGTAAACAATGTCAACATCTGTCTTTTTACAGTGTAGTTTTTATTGTTCTGTCAGCACCAGCTCTGGCTTGGGAGATGACGTCCCAGTCAATATTGTCAGTAAACATTGGGAAAGGATATACACCAACAGTATATTTTTACTTGCTTTACGTGTTTGTTTGTTTTTCTTTTTTTATTATTCCTCAAAACAACCTAATGCAGCGATGTTAGTGGTCATTGTCTTTGGAAGTGATATGATCTGAAAGAGAGTACCATCACTCCAGAGTAACTCCAGCGTGTGCAGCACCTTCTCATTTTTCAAATTAAGGTGGATCCCTCCATTACTGAGTCACAGTATCAGAGGGTGACAAATTAAGGGTGAATCATATGCTGTTGCCTTCACAGTACTCAGGCCTTAGATGGATTGATCACATTCTGCGTGGGAGTTTTTTGAGTATTGAGCTCTTGTCACCTCATTATGTAAATGTAGCAGCAGTTTTACACATTGATCTTCATCTCTGTATCTGCATGCTACCATAAAATCCACAGGGTACCTGCACAGATATTAAATGCACATGTTGCAGCAAACACAGGAAATGTATAAAATTGAGGCCAGAGGTGCACATAGACTCATCATGGGCATGGACACTTAATGGGAATATTGGACTTTTAATTATGTTTAATTAACTGTTCTTTTTCAGGGGTAGAAAAAAATCGTACAGCATACATCCTTAATTACTTTATAAAACAAGAACTGGGTGCACATTATTATTATTATTATTGTTGTTGTTGTTGTTGTTGTTGTTGTTGTTATTATTTTCTCTAATCCACAAAAGATCTAAATTATACACACAGTCTCAATTACATGATTCATGCATAAAAAATTATTGATTACAACTGGCAGTTTTTATTTGTTTTGGTATTTGGAGTATTTGGACTGACCAATACACAAATGGAAACTGTGCTGCCACTTGAACAAGACAAATGCAAGTCAGACAAATTCAAGCTACTAACCACAATGACAAGAGGTATGTTTGGAGGAGTAAAAGCTAGCCTTTCAGAGCTAAAAAAAAAAAAAAAAAACTGTACCAGCAGCCAAGCATGGTAATGGTAGTGTTGTGCTCTGGGCTAGCAATAGTAGTACACTGTAAAAGTTAATAATGGGATAATGAAGAAGAAGAACTACCTCCAAATTCTTCAGCTTCCCCACAGATAAACAGCTGGATGGTTGAAACACAATTGGGTGTTCCAACAGGACAATGATCCAAAACACACATCAAAAGTGGTTTTGTAATGGTTAAACAGGGTCATATTAAGCGTGTGGAATTCCCAACACCCCAATCTGAATGTGGACTACATTTCAAAGCTGGGTTCATCCCAGGAAACCAACCAATTTGAGTAAAAAATATCAATTCTGCCAAGATGAGTGGTCAAATATGCAGCTAGAATTAAGTCAGAAGCTTATTGATGGCTACCAAAAGTGTGTGGTTGAGGGACAACATGCATATAATTAAACCTGTAAGTCTACTTTGACCCCATGTGGATTTGAGAAAATCCAAAATAAATGCAAACTTGTGCAGTCAATTCTTATTTTTTAAAGAGATTAAATCAATCATTTGGAAAAACAACTTGTGACCACAACAGCATTTAAAATAAAAACTTTGTCAGCAAATTACTCTCCTTTATATTTTAACATTGAACATTTCACACTTTTTCCGTGATGTTCGTCGCACCCATGAGGTAAAAGAATAAAATATGTCTTTTGTCTGCCCATGTCTGCATATGCATTTTGCCACAGAAACACAGATTCTACTTTATAGCTCCGCCTTACGTGTCTCGTGGTGGTTCACTGAGCGACCGAGCATCAGTGCCAGGCGCGGTCCCAGGTGCGCTCGGTCGGTTGGGGTCGTAGATTGCAGTGGTGGACCCCGGTGGTGCTTGAGAGCGAGATCTGAGCTTCTTATCCCCAGGAGCTTGGCACACTGACGGCTCGCTGACGGCTGAACCGAGGCCAGCGGGCTTCCCGGGGGGCCCGGTGAACCACTCCCCTGGCTTGGTCAGAATCTCCTGCTGCTTTCGGCAGTTATTGCACACCCAGATCACCTAAGATAGAAGGAGCACGGGTGGGGATTACAATAACAGCCATACGACACATGCATCTTTATCAGCTAATCTGCCAACAAGCTGTCATCACAGATGTTCTGCACAAACAGATCAGATAATATATGACATATACTTGCATAACACGACAGTGAAGTAGTGGTGAGGAGCTGAACGCTTTTCACATTAGTATCACAATAAGGTGTCGAAGAGAAAGGAAATATTCTTTACTGCAGTTAGTAGAAATCATCTCAGCCAAGTATTTTGCCAAGCACTAATCTGAGGCACGGCTGTGACTGTCAAACAGGAAATGGAACAATGCACTTCCTAAAGAGCTGCTCTGCTGCCCAGAAAAAGGTTTTTATGGAAGCCTTTTAAGATCAACATCAAGGCAGTTATAGCAGGGAGCAGCTTTGCTTCCACTGTGGGCCGCTCTTGGCCTCCAAATGAGGAACACAAAGCCAACTGGATAATGAAAGGACACTCAAGTCGCTGCCAAACTGATATCTCCCGTCTTCTTTCCTTCTATTTGTCCCATCACACATATGCACACTGACTATACATTGGCTGTGCTGATGCACTACGGCAAAGCGTGAGTCCAAACGCAGACACGTGACACACGCATCAGACCCACACAGCTGAGTGAATTGCATAACCACTTCGGGATGTAGTGATTACTTGATGTTAACCCTTTTTGACAGTGACAGCTAATTCAGTTTCAAGCGACCAACAGACTTTGTACCACGTACAGTATGTGGCACACTCAGACTTTGCTCCAAACAAAGCATCAAAGAAGCCTTTGACGCCAGTTTCCACTACTCAGCTGCTGTTAGATACTGCATTCATTCTATGAACAGACTGTAATCACTACGTTAAAGAAATGGCATCAAGTATAAGATGATACTTTTCCCCTCTCCGGTCCTCTTGTGCTGTGCAGCTAATGCATTAAACCTGCATTTCCTTCTAATGGCCATCAGGTTGCGACTCTGGTTTCAAAAAGAAGCGTGACTAGAAGCTTTCAGCTACCTTGGACTGTAACCTCAGTAAACACCTTATGGTCTTGCTCTAGTTTAAAGTCTTGTTGAGGACAACATAATGTTCACTTTGTACACCGTGGTCCCCATTAAAGCTGAAATGCTTTAGGACAGGCCTACTTCTATAGACTGTATATTAAAGATGGATGCAACCCACCACCATGCTAGCGTTTCCTATTTATCATGTTTTTGACTATATATGCTGGGTTTATAGTTGTTTTTTTAATTGTTTTTAATGATCATTTCTTCTGTGTAGCTATTTTATATGTTTATATATGTTTTTCTGCATTTGTTGTGGACAGCAAAGAAAAAATATCTTACAGGGCAACATGTTTTCCACTGTGCATATAGCAAAAAAACTTATTCAGTGTCTGTTCTTGACTTGGCCTTTCTGTTGCTCTCCCCAACTTCAGCTTTCCATGTATCCACTATCTTCAACCGTCTTCTTTTGACTATATTTCTAAGACTTCAAAGAATCTAAACTTCAGACCAGGGTAATCAATATTTAGCTATTGATGCAAACCTGACCTTAAGAAGCTAGATGAGGGATTGTGAAGATGAGTCAATCTATGGTGTTGAAGTATTCAATTCCTGTTCTATTTTGTTCTGTGTTTACGATACCAACACGCCAGCAGTCTTCACTCATAACACTTTGGAGGTATTTCAAAGCTACTGTAGCTTTTCTTTCTACATCTGTAGAGTTTGAAAAGCTTGCAGTCGTTTTTTGTGGTCAAGTGAAAAGCTCAGGAGTACACAATTCTTTTTCATGCTGGCTTCTCTTTCATTTTGGTCTAATACTTAGATTTAGATTTTGCGTTATTATGGTAACATAAGGTGTCGTAAAACCACCTGATGCTATGTCATCATCAATGACTCTTGTCAGCTCCACTCCACGAGCTCAGATGAGGAGGTGTTCACACAGTGAGAGCAGGGAAAGCACCCTGTCTGTAAATGACAGCAGTAAACAGTAAAGTCTCTCACACTAAGACCTTTTCAAATAAATTAGGTGAAAAAGATTAACACTTGATTTATTTCGATCCAGTTGGCATTTATTATTTTATAAATGAATACCAGAGCGATACACATTTATACCTGGAAATATTAATTTTACCTTAGAAAGTTGCAAAAACAGTATAACAGTGTAACTAAAGCCTCATGTTGCTTAACACATAATTACTTAACAGTGCTATAGGACTGACACTTGGTATCAGCATGGAATTTTGGTATCAGTATCAAAATTGGAAAAAGTTTTTGTACATTTTTGTACATCTGACTCACCTTTCTTGCTTTCACTGCTAAATGTGGAGAGATCAGAACTTTCTGATACCTTGAATACATACATTGAGGATGCCAATGTTCACATTTTGGACAGAGAGGACAGATGGTTTGAAAGAGGAGTGAAAGAAGCCATCTATGTCCACTGTGAGCGACCATCTTTGAACAGAGGCGGTGGTTTACGACACCAACTGTCTGCCATCTATAATCCAGTTTTGAGTTCCCTCCCCAGACGCCTTAACGCCCACTCACATCCTGGGCCATCTGACCTCAGGAATTCGCATGATAAGGTGGGGCCAGGTTTCACAATGAGCTCACCCGAAACCCTGGCTGATTGGGACCCACACCCAGTTTTACACCTTGGCTCAGGCGATTAGAGGATCATCAGGGGGTCCTTTTGTCCCTCTGTGGGGGGATACTCCCACTAGGTTTAAATCTGGGACTCCCCACCATTTGACCTTAGAACTGAAGAAGCTTCTCGGATGAGAGGTGAAACGTCTTCAAGCACCTTAAAGAAGTCCAGGCGCTTTTCTTTGCAAGTTCCTTTGGATACCTTGAATAGTTTTTCTATCATTTCTTTTTTTCTTAAAAAATAAAATGAAAAAGAAGCAAGCTGAGAAAAGGCAAATGTAACATCTTTGGAGCTTCAGCTTTAGCCTAAATAGATTTGTCAAAAATTGAGCACAGCACCAGCTGGTAACATCCATCCACCCATTCATTTTCTTAACTGCTTATCCAGTTAAGAGCTGCGGGTGGGGTGGGCTGGAGCTTATCCCAGCTGTCACTGGACAGGTCGCCAGGGCATCACAGCAGCTTGTTACAGTCAATCAAAAGATCACTAACAAAACTAACAGAGGGCTCTGTTCTTCTGCTGTGCTACATGGCGGCTGGTCTTAAAAACAACAGTTTCTCTGTGCACATTCTCCACCACCATCAGCTCATATTGATAAGAGGTGTGGGCTACAGCCCAGAATAGAAAGGCAGAGAGAAGCAAGGACGGCTCGCAGTGTGAATGTAGCTTTACTCAAAGTGATATGAGAGCCAGAATGAGGAAGAAGGAGATGACAGAGGAAGTGAGGCTGGGCTGGAAATAAAGAGACAGTGAGTGGATGGAGGAGGAGGGTGAGTGGAGGTTAGAGCCGGTCCCACTCCTCCAGCCACCAGGGTTCTCATTACTCCTGAGCACTCCCCAATGACTCTTTAAAGAGAGCTAAAATAAAACACTCTGGCATCACCCCGCTTTCCCAACTCTTCTTCTTACCATCTCTCTCGCTCCTCTTCCTCCTCCCTCCCTCCCGCTCCCTCACCCCACCACTTTCCCTTCCATTCCTCCCTCCTCCAGATTGCTTTTGATTAAAGCTACAAAAGCCGAGGAGAAAACAGCTTTACACCAACGCAGCTATATTTATCCTGCCAAACACCCCAGCACCACCGGGGAGAGAGGGAGAATGTGTGCGCACACAAACACACACATATACACAGAGCAAAGAAAGCAAAACACTGCCTCATGTGGGACATTATAGCTTCGGTGAAAACATTCACCAATCTGTGATTTTTCTGCAGCCAGACCGCCAAGGTGGATGGCTGCCAGATCAACACTGCAATGCTAGCCTATTCGTCCGTACATTGACAGGTGGGCCGACATGCCTCGCAGTCACACAGGGAAGTTCAGTGCTTTCCTAACAAATATTACTGGAACATCTTTATTTAATTTCTTCACTTGGTCAAAAAATCTTTTGATGTTAAAAAGGTGAAAAGAGAAATTAAATTTCAATCTCAAAATTAGTGGAAAAAAACCCACAAAACACTTGAGTCAGATTTGCCAGCAAAGCTATCGTTTATGCTAATGTGCTAACATCTCTTTAAATGGGACCAATTAATCTTTTACTTATTATCTGGAATGTAATGTACTTTTAAAATCAGACATAAGTGATTCTAAGAAACACAGTGTCTACTTGGCCTCCAATAACACTGTGAGAACATTCGACTCCCCTTTGACCAGGATCTGTCCTTCAGCGTCCACATTAACAAATGTTTCTGATGTCTTTTTTCTTCTGCACAGTATTGCTAAACATCCTGTCCCAGAATGATGTATCAGGAAAACAAATTTGAGCATTTGTTATTTCTAAACCACACTTTTGCAATTCCTTTTTATCAAGTTGCTCTAAAAGCTCCTAGATAATCCTTTAGTAAGGATGTCAAACTTATTTTTCATTGTTGACCACATTGAGACCACTTTACTTTTTGTTTATCTGCGGTCCCATTGTAAAAAAAACAGAAATTTCTATAGTAGGTAGTAAAAAAAAACTATCAGCAGGCCTACTTGTGGTTACTAAAAGTAGAATGGGATGCAAAGCTTCCAGCTTTCAGCCCCTCCTCTGTGGAGACAGCCACCCACGCTTCTTTTAAGGCTTAAAATTTTCCTTTCTGATAAATCTTAGAATTAGGACTGGATCAGACCAAACCATCCTTTAGTTATTCTGCTATAGGTTATGTGCAAACCCAAGTTTTGTTTCCTCTGTCATAGACTACAAATTTTAAAAACAACTTGCCTTTTAATTGGGAAATTGTTTTTGAAGCAAAAACGCTGTTGAGATATTTCTCTCATCAGCTGTGTTTGGTACTGAAGATGACACTGACACATTTTGCAAATTACCTTTGCTGATTTAGTCATTCACTGGGTGTGCTTTATAC